AGGGTAGGATGCATGTATATTTTCAGTTTGGTACTGACTAGAGCTACTAACAGAGCAAAATAAAGAGCCTGAAATAGATTCAAAATCTAAGTCAATAGAGGGTTTAGTTCTAAGATGTCATTTCCAGTCAGGGAAGGAAAGATGGGTTACTGAATGAATGGTCTTGGTGCAATGGGCTAGCCATCTGGAAGGTACAACCACACTCCTTCTACAAAAATAGGTTGCAGCTGAAGCCAAGATGTCTAAAAATGTTTTTTAAAAGGAGAAATTTTGTATGACCTTGATAAAAGCACCTTTCTAAACACAGTACAAAATTCACAAGTTGATAAATAAAAGTGATAAATCTGACTCTGTGAAAATTGAAATTTTCTATGGAAAAAATACCATAAAATAAAAAAATCAATCAACAAATTGGGAAAATATATCTGCAACCTGAATAGCAGGCAACAGATAAAATTTGGAACTATATATAAAAAGGTATATTGCAAATCAAAATCACAAAAGACCAATAGCCCAGTGGAAAAATGGCAGAGGACATGAGATGTTCAAAGACAAGGAAATGTAAATAGCTTTTAACATAACAAAAGATCAAAGTATTTGACAGTTCTCTGCTGACCAGGTGGTGGCTATGAGTGGTGGTGGCTAGTGGCACTCACAAATACTTGGTTTCCTCCTTGGGCACTGAATTTGACTGAGGGCTCTCTCCTGTGAGCTCGGTGTAGTCACATGACTTGGACTGAGGGAGGAAATGGGGCGAAAGAGGCACGGGAGCTGCTTCGTAGATGTATGTCTGCTTCCTTTTCTTCTGCCTTGGTGGCCAGCAAGGTTCAGGTGACAGTTGCTTCATCAGTCTGGTTCTGGAGTGAGGACAGCAACATTGTGGAGCAAAGTCTTTGATAAACACATGGTGTAAGAAAGAAACAAACCCTCATCATCGTAAGCCCCTGAAATTTTGGGGTGTCTGTGGTAGAGCAGAGCCCAGCCCGTTTTGACAGGTCCTCAAGCTTGCTGGTGTAGTATCGTTGGAAAACCTTTATGTGCCTTTTCTTCTCAAATTCCACCTCCAAGAATGTATGAATCAGATTGCTCACGTGCAAAAAGGCATAACGACTATAATAGCAAATGACAGAGCGCAATTTACATACTCGACACAGGAGGTTGGTTTAAGACACCGGAACAGACACAGAACGTAGGTATTTGCAAGCAGAAGCCTAAGGGAGCAGAGGTGGGCTCACTGATCCATCTTAGGCTGTTTTAGGATTAGGGCTGGGCTCTATCCTGAGCCTGAAGTCATTCCCAAAGTGTTCCTACAAGGGAGGGCCCCAAATGCTTCTGAGATAGGATTGGTTGGGGAAACAGCACTAGGGAGAGCAATGGAAGGGTTGAACTGACCAAAGTAAAGTACACTTGCAGCAGGAATACATGGAGAAACCCCTTTGAACATCGACTTTGGAATTCAAGAAAGGACTGTAAAATAGGTACAGTGTGTGGGGGAGAGGTACCTGTAGGAGGAGGTGGGTGATTGGAGGAGATGAAGGTGAGGGAATATGGTTGAAGGGCTTCATATACAAAATAGAACAATGAAGCCTCTTGCAACTGCTTTAAGTGGGGCAGGAGGGGGCTGAGGGGGAGAGATGGTGGGGGCAATCTATCCAATGTACAGTATAAAACTGCTCAGAATTGTCACAATGAATCCCCCTGTACAATAAATATATCCTAACTTTTAAAAACAGAAAAATATATAACAATTTTTAAAATAGACCCCACAAAATGCCATGGATATCAGTCCACAGTACTTATTAGGGAACCTTGCTACAGAGTGCTATCGCTGAGTTTTTCAAAGAATAGAGAGAGAAAAGGGATGTTTCACCTAGCTATGTTTGAGTTTATACAAGGGTTTGAGGAATTTGGCTCAGAGCTGGGACCAGGATCTTGGTCAACAACCTAGGTACCTTTATCAGTGCCTGGCACTGTTCAAGGTCTGGCTCAGGTTCAAGTCTGCAGGGAGACCTGCCTGCAGCTGGCTACAGAGTAGTCAAGGCACTGTGTAGTTTTAGGTCAGGACATGGAAAGAAACTGAGACTCTGGTGGTGGGGGGGTGGGGGCATGACACTACATTGTGGAGCCCACAGGCTAGATTAAGACATTAGAGCCCCCAGGATCTAATCAAGTAAGGTGCACCTCCTCACCTCACCAATATAAAAAAAAAAACTAAACTAAAAATCACAAAGTAAATGCTAAAAATTCCATTTAAAGATTTTTTTAAATCAAAATAGAATATCTCTGAAAAGATATCCAATAAGTGAGTATATGAATTTTCTAGGGATGTTGTGACAAATTACTACAAATTTGGTTGCTTTAAACAACATAAAATTTGTTCTCTTTAAGTTCTGAAGGTCAGAGGTCTACAGGCAAGGGTTGGCAGGGCCTTGGTCTCCAGAGGCTCTGAGAAAGAACCCTTCCTTGCTTCTTCCAGCTTCTTCTTTTTATATTTTATTTATTAATTAATAAATTTTTGTTTATTTATTTATTATTTTTTGATGGCACTGGGATTTGAACTCAGGGCCTTGTGCTTCCTGGGCAAGCACTCTACACTTGAGTCATACTCCTAGACCTTTTTAAATTTATTTTTGAGACAGGGTTTCACTAGGCAAGTGCTCTACCACTAGAACCACACCCCTGCCCAGGCTGTGGCCCTTGATGCAGTCCAGGTTACCTACCTGGCACTCACAATCCTCCTGCCTTGGTCTCTGGAGTGCTGGGATTATAGGCATGTACTACCACACCCTGCTCTCTTCTGGCTTCTGATGGCTCCTGGCATGCCTCATGTTATGTTGTATCACCTAGCCTGCACCTCCATCTTCATGTGGATTTCCTTCTTCCCTGCACCTGTCTAAGTCTTGCATATAGCACTCTCCTTTCTCTTATAAGACCAGTCATTGGTTTTAGGGCCTACCTCAACCCAGGATGAGCTCATCAAAAGAGCCTTGGATTCATTACATTCTCAAAGATCATATTTTCAAATAGGGTAGCATTCACAGGTACCAGGGGTTAGGATTGGGCATACTTTTTTTTTGGGGGGGGGCTGTGTTAGTATGGGTAGCAGTGACTTTCCCTGGGAATATGGGGATTCAGGAATGGGAAGAAGACAGACTTGTCAGTGTACATTGACTTGACCTTGACTGCTTACATATCTGGGGGGAGTAATCTGGTGACCAGTGGCCAAGGTGTGAGGAATGGGTCTGAAAAGAAGAAGGAGACACAGCTGCGTGGGGCAGCTTCTGGTGGGGGATGGTGAATAAGGGAGGAATACCTTATCAAGTGGTGGGAAGCCGGCTGGGCTGGACCCTTGGAGATTGCAATGGAGGATGTGAGATGAGAAGTGACTGACCCTCTGGTCTATTTGTCATAAAACCCAGGCACCTGCAGGGCCTCCCCCACCCTATCCAAATCTATCTACCGCTGTCCATACTGGATAGCAGCCTGTCCTTCATCTGAGACACCCACATCCCTCTGTGCACAGGCTTCATCATCCTCTGAGTGCACATTAGAATCCCCTGAAGGGTGAGGAGCCTAGTGACCCAACTGGAGCATGGGGACATAACTTTCAGCCATTCTTGCTACAAGCGGAGGTCTTGGAGAGAGGAAGCTGTGGAAAAGCGAATTCTGTTTACCAAAAAGCTGGAAGCTCTCTGAACCTCCAGTTACCACTGTCAGCAAACAATTAAAGAGTTCCTTTTTTGTGCCAAGATGTTGGGTTATTCATGGGGGCGATGGGAGAAAAAGAAAAAACGTCGTGACTCTGACCTCACCCATGGATGTCACTGCCAACTTACTAGTATAGTCTTTGTCCAATGGGTTCTTTGGAGAGAGGTATTTGCAAACAGTGGAAACAGCGGCAACTTTGGACTCCAAGAGGTGGATTCAGAACTGAGAACCTGCTGTGCATCTGCAAGACATGCTAACCCTGTTTCTTCTTTCTCAGAAAGCCTCATGCCTGCCACACCTGCAAACCAAGGCCAGAGCTGCTCTTTCCCTTTTGCACCCTCCTGCTTGGCACACAGTTGATGTTTACAGGATGCTTGGACATGGTGTGTAAAGAAACCTTGGCAAACTGAATTGCTTGGAACACTGAGCCTTCAATTCAGTTTGGAACACTGAAATTTCAATTATTATCTCTATGATACCTTTGCATATTAAAAAAAAAAACCTACCTATTGTAGAATCAATCCCTTGAAATCAAAAACAACCCTACCTTCAAGGGAAGCTATGGTGAGGTGGAATGCAGGATGCAGGGGAGCAGAGGCCAGAGAGGTATCCAGACTAGGTTTAGGTTGCCAAGCTGGAAGGGTGGGAAGAGCTCAGTGGGCTGTAAGGAGTCTGCAGTCAAACTGAGGAGGAAGGATCGCCAGTTATAGGAAGAAGGAGGACCAGAAAAGGCTGTTAACATGGTTCAAGGGCCTTGCAAAGGGATGGCAGATCCTGGAAACACTAACAGGAAGGACCCCCCAGAGCTTGGAGTCTGACATCGAGAGCAGAGTTTAGGGTAAGAGGAGGAGCGATGGTCCGGCTTCCAGCCCAATTAGGATTTGGGAATTTTTCCACCCTCCCAGAGTAATCTGACGCTGTTTGGGAGGGCGAGGCCGAAACCTGATCCTCCGGTCTCTGGGCTCCGTTAATGTTTAATCAGACAGGATCGTCCGATGGGGCTCTGGTGGCGTGATCTCCCGGCCCCCCGGACGTGGAGCACCCACACCCTAGAAGGTTCCGCCCGACGTCGAGGCGCGGGGCTGCAGGCAGGCACTGCTCCACTCCACAAGTCCCAACCTGGAGGAGTGAGCTGAACGGTTCAACTGCCCGGCGGGGACGCGCCAGCCTGCAGCACCCAGAGCTCCCTTGCACTCACGTCCTGCCCACTGCCAGGGGACAAGGCGCGACCAGCGGGGACCGCGCGAGTTCTGGGTCTCCGGGCCAGGACGCACACCTCTCCTCTCACCGGGATGGGCAGCGGCAGCTCTGGACGGCTATGGTGGCCGCTGCTGTCACTGCTGCTACTGCTACTGTTGCTCCTGGACCCCGCGGGTGCCAGTGTCCAGGAGGACGAGGACGGCGACTATGAGGATCTGGCGCTCGCCTTCCAGTCGGAGGAGGACGGTCCGGGCCACGCGGCCCAGCACGTGGTCACAGCCACCTTCCACCGCTGCGCCAAGGTGCGGGCGCCGGGTGTGAGGCCGAGGCGGGCAAATGCTGCTTTTTTTTAGGCCTCAGTTTCTCCCGTGTAAGGGAGGGTCTGAAGCGAAGTTCCGCGAGGGCCTTCTGCTTATCTGGCCACCAGCAGCTTGGTGCGGGCCCGGGGACTGCAGGCGCCAGGGTGGGGAGATCGAGGACGGCAGGTGCTTCGGGGACCCGGCGACTGCTCCCAGTGGCAGACGGGTCGCGGGGATGGGAGTTGAGGAGGCACGAGAGCTAGCAGGGCACTGCCAGAAGGCCCGTCCCGATTTCAGACGTGCGCGCCGCGGTGACCCGCGTGGGCGAAGGAGTTAACGCTGCAACGCGCTCGGAGCGGCTGCGCGTTTTGCTTGGTTCTGGAAGTCTGGGCCGTGGAGAGGAGGGGGTGGGGGTCTTAGAGAGAGGGCGTCCTCAGAGACAGGTGGGGGTGGGCCCGCCGGCGGAGGTCCTGGTAGGAGGCGGTTTCCTTCTGCTCCTGGAACCTTTGCGCTAGTTCTGCATCTTTTTCAGCTGAGGAAAAGGACGAACGAAAGAGGGGAAGGGGGAGTTAGTGTACAGATCTGCTGGGGTCTTTTGAGGGGCTGGGGTAGAGGAACGCATGTCAGGGCTGGGGGTCAGATCTAGCCAAGATCTGAGTGGTTGAGCCCTGTTCTGTGTCGCAACACCAGCCTGCGGGTCTGCCTTTAGGGCCGTTGCGGTGTTTCCTCGGCATCTTTGCCATCTAGCTCTGGGCTGTGGGGTGATCCTACCTAGGTCAGCCACCACTTTCGCCTTCCCTGGATTGGGCTGAGGTTCTGTTGCCTGGGCTTGGAATCAGACGGAGACTGAGTCGTTAGTTTCATCTCAGTGCATGAGCCTTGAGTAAAAGGTCCTTTCCAGGGGGAATGAAGGGAAAGGAGTTTGCTGACTACACGGGTGACCGTAGGATGTAAGTCTGGGAGAGATCACCTGCAGGAGGTGGGTGTGCTTCTGAGTTCCTGAGACCTCCTGGCCACACCCTCCTTGCTTTAAATCAGAGCTTGGGGCAGAAAGAAGGGAATTCTGCTTCCCGCTGGCCTCCCGCGGGAGTGTGCTTGGCTGCAGGATGTGGGTTCTTACTCAACTTAAGACGCCTTGTTCCTGAGCCTTTCACCTTCTACAGGGATGTTGCAGAATTGTGTGGGAATAAGAAAGGGCATTTCTAAGCCAGGTGTAATGGTGCAAGCCTGTAATTCTACCACTAAGGAGGTCGAGGCAGGAAGATCTTGAGTTTGAGGCCAGCCTGGGCTACATAGTGAGACCCTATCTCAAAAAAAAAAAAGTTTAAATAAATGAATAAATAATAATAAGCTGGTGTTTCTAGATATCACTGCCTCAAAATAGCTGTTTTGGAAATAGTGAGTACCCCATTCTGAAGGGCAAGTAAGCTAAGGTCAAGTACCTGAGAGTGACTCATGCCTGGTGGAAGTTTAGACCAGGAAGTTCCTAAAGTTCACGTTCTTGTTCATTCAGTGAATATTTGGGGGTACCAAATTTAAAGAATGAAGTTTTTATTTTTTGCAAGCAGAAAGGGATTTTAAACCAATTCTTTTATTTTTTAGTCATGAGAAACTGAGGCCCTGATAGAGGAGGTGTACCCTCCGGCTCCCCTGCAGAGTACCCTCCCAACTCATTAGGTTTTCATTTAACAGGGTGCATTTTCTGTGGCTATTTTGACCGTACCGGGAATTGAACTCAGGGCCTGGCACTTGTGCTCTACTGCTTGAGCCACATACTCAGTTTTTTTTTTTTTTACTTTTGCTAGGAGCCTGCCTTGGATCATTACCATCCTACCTCCACCTCTGGAGTACCTGGGATTACAAGTGTTTGTCACCATATCTGGCCCTTAAATGGGTCAGTGGAGAACTTCATTCCAGGGGAGGGAGTAGCATGAACAAAGACCCTGAGCTGGGTAAAATGTTCTGAAACCAAAAGGTTTTCTGTCATTTATTTGATGGTGGAACCTGACCTGAATTGACACAAGATTATTTGTAAACTAATAACATAATTTATTCTACTTGTACAAATATGTGTAGACATACATTTTGCTGTATGGATTACAGGATGTTGCTCCAGACTCCTTGATTGCCCGTTTCTGCCTCTAAAGTCCAAATGAATTCTAAATCCTGAAATCCATTGACCCTCTGGCTTTGGTCAGAGGGTTGTGGACTGAACTCCTCTGGCTGAAGTCCAAGGTGCACACACAGGGAGGTGGGAGAAGAAGGTGCAGAGGTGGTTGAGGCAGGGCCAAGGAAGAGCATGGAGATTAGACTTCATTTACTAGGCTGTGGGAAGGTTCTTGAGCTGTGAGTCTGCTTGAGAGCAGTTGGAGCAGGCAAGAGCTAAGACAAAACACCTGTGCTCCTATTGTCCACCGCCTTTACTATTCTCTCCCTGTTTGACGGGTGCTACCATGGCTCCCTGGATTGTTCCCTCTGCCTGCAGGCCTGCACCACGGGTACTGCAGTCCCTGTAATACAGAGGAGACATCTGAGGCTCAGAGGCCAAGTGACTTCATGGCTACATAGCCAGTAAATGTGGGAGGTGGGAGCCAGGGCCCTATTTTCCTGCCACAGTGCTTGTTAGTTTTCTTCCCTGGGCTGCTCCTGGAGGAAGGAAATGGAGGTGCAAGACTGGGGAGAAAGAGAGGTATTCTGGTTGGGAACTGGGAAGGAAGGTGTGGGTAGGAAGGCCTCTGGGAGGGCGGGGTGCCTTTGTGCAGGGCCACCGGGGTGGCCTGGAGAGCTGGGGACTCTGTTGTCTCCAGAGCTTTGGGACTGGAGGTATGGAGGAGAGCCAGTGCTGAACGTAACCCACAATTCCCTCTTCTGACTGCTAGCCAAATTTTCAAGTGTGTGTGAGCTGTTGGTACTTGTAGTTGTTCTCTGTGGGGTTTTGTGTGTATTTAGTCCTAATGGGGCAACTTGGCTTTTTAATTACTGTACCGCTCATGTTTCTTTGGTTGTAATTCTCATCTGTAGACAAGAGTGGGATAAGGGCTATGAAGGGTTTGCTGTTTTTTTTTTTTTTTTGTGGTGCTGGGATTTGAACTCAGGGCTTACACCTTGAGCCACTCCACCAGCCCCTTCTGTGTTAGTTATTTTCAAGATAGGGTCTTGCGGGACTACTTGCCCGGGCTGGCTTTGAACCATGATGATCCTGATCTCTGCCTCCTGAGTAGCTAGGATTACAGGCATGAGCCACTGGCACCCGGCTTTGCTGGTTTTTGTAATGTTATCATGCTCCTCTTTCTTATCATGGGCCAGGACACCTGGAGGCTGCCAGGCACCTACGTGGTGGTGCTGAAGGAGGACACTCAGCGGCCACAGACGGAGCGCATCGCCCGCCGCCTCCAGGCTCGGGCTGCCCGCAGGGGCTACCTCACCAAGGTCTTGCATCTCTTCCATGACCTCTTTCCTGGCTTCCTGGTGAAGATGAGCGGCGACCTACTGGACCTGGTGAGCTGCCTTCCCTGAGCATGGCACTTCCAGGCCTGAGACTGAGCTTAGTGTGGCCATGGCTGTGAATAGGGAGATGGCAGACTCTTACTGATCTCTTGCTGGGTCCAAGGCCCCGAATATCTGCCTTGTAAGCCTGGTCGTCATTCCCTCCAAGGTCTGCCCACCTTCATTTGAAGCATAAGGAATCCCAGGTGTGGAGGGACCACACAGACCAGTAGGGATGGAGCTAGGTTTCCACCTGGTGATCCACCAGCCAGCATCCTTGTGCTGCTGTGTCTGCTGCTTATGGGGACCTGTGAGGACAGGAGTTGGGACCTTCAGAGGAGCAAGTCATTTTATGAAAGCATGCTCTCCCCCAGGACAGGTGGCCCTTCTCCCTCCAGCTCTCCCAGTGTCGAATGTGGAGGCAATGGGGACTTCTGACCTCTTCTCTTCTCCCACCCTGGCCGAGTGCTTCACTGGCCAGTATGGGCAGCCTCTCTTGGTTCTGCCTGTGCTCACCTCTCTGGCCTCAGACTTGCTGAATGAACTTGGTTCTCACTTGTACACTGATCTTTGACTTACGGGGGTGCTTCTTGGCCTCCTGCATACACCAAGGCCCCAAGAGGGACAAGGTCTTGCCTGATGCCACCCAGTGTCCTTGCAGCACTGCCCTGCAGCATGGCTTAATCCAGCTCAGCATCCAGTAGTTGAGCTGCTGCGTGCCAAGTCCTGTGAGGGCAGTGACAGAGATCAGCTGGGTCCCTGTCCTTGGGAACTCATAGTCTAGTTGAGGAAAAAAACAAGTTGGTACTCCTGTCTGGCTGCTCAGTACACATGTAATAAGCACCTACTGTGTGCTGCAGCTGCTGAGGTAAAGTAGTCGGATCTTGACACACAGCTAAGGCAGAGAGACTGGACAGGGACGGCCAAGACTGTTGGCTGGTGCTGTATGCTCGGCACAGTGGGGGATGAATAAGTTGGCAGGCTGGAGCCCTCAGGCCAGGGCAGCTTCTGGGCAGGGGCTGCAGACAGTTGCCTTGGACAGCTGGCCTTTAGCACCTCACCAGCTGCTGCTGATCGCCTGACCAGCTTGCCTAACCTTGGGCAGATGCCTCCATCTTCAAGGACCTCAGTCCTCTGTCACAAGGCAGGCATGGTAATGGGAGCAGTCATTTAAGGACTGAGCAGATGCTAAGTACAGAGCCTCAGAAGTGGGTGTAGGTTAGAAGCCTCTGGGGACACCAAGTTATAAGAGAGTGGCTTCCTACTGCCCAGTAGGACCTGGCAGCATGGAAGAGGGAGTGTGGTCACCCAAGGGTGTGGCCACAGAGCCAGGGTAGTGGGGGAGTGGAACCGACACAGTCTGTTCCCTGCTGGTGCCTCCCATTGACTAAGCACCTAGAAGCCACCACCAGGGAGTCTGATGCTGTGGTCTGCAGGGCAGAGGGGTCGGGAAATAGAGCTGGGCACACAGAAAGGCTGGTGCTGACATTCTGATTTGGGTGTGAAGTCCGGGCCTTGATTCCCCGACCTGTCCAGTCTGCCTACAGCTGGTACTGCCTGGCTCTCAGGAGAGGTGTGGAACCCAGAATCCTTTCTACCAGCTGTTTGGGGCTCAGCTACCAGGCTGTGAGAGCACTGGCCGCCCCCTCCAGCTGAGAGAGGAGTGAGGACCCCAATGTTGTCTTCTGGGCATCTGGGATGAGGTGTGCTGGGATGGACACTGGTGAAGTCAGGTGGGGCAAGGGCTGGGGTGGTGCTTCTACTGACCAGGCAGCTTTTGAAGCTGAGTGTCCCGGCCTCCCTGGCTCCTGCAGGCCCTGAAGTTGCCACATGTGGCATACATCGAGGAAGACTCCTCTGTCTTCGCCCAGAGCATCCCTTGGAACCTGGAGCGGATCATCCCTGCACGGTACCAGGCAGAGGAGTACAGCGTTCCCAGTAAGACCTTAGCTGCCTTGGCTGCACTCTCCTTCTTGTCTAGGACTTTCGCCTCTCAGAGCTTTGGGGCACTTATAAGTGCACTTCTTCTCTTCTGTCCTTGCCCCTCTCGTACTGCACCCCCGTCTGTTGCTACATGCAGAATGCAGGGGCCTTTCCCTAATGCCCTTTCTTTCACCTTCTCATTTCTCGTTCTCTTCTCCTCATTTGGAGTGGCCCAAAGGCTACATTTGCTTTGGGGGCAGGTTGAACCTGACTGTAACTCACAGTCTCTGTGACTCCCAGACCTTCACACAGACCCAGCCTTCCTGGGCTGTCCCCACCTACATCTCTGGTCTTCTGTCTTGCCTGCCACCCACCCCCTTGCCTTCTTTTACCTGGTGTGGCCTGCCAGGTGCAGAGAAAGGAGGAAGAGGAGGAAAATGGCCTGGGTCTGGCAGGGCCTCAATAGGTGACATTGAGTTGGGGAAGGTGGTAAGGGCACCTGCTTTGGGAGAAGATCAGGGGTTCTGGTTGAACCATGTAGAGTCTGAGGAACCCGTGGGGTGAGGTCTAGAGACAATGCAGCATGGTGCCAGGCTTCAGATCTGAGGGTAGGCTCAGCCCCTGCCCCTTACCGGTGAATTGCAGGGACTTGAGAGCAGCCTTGCTGTCTGAGCCTTTCCTTCATCTGTAAATGGGCACAGTGACTGGCCATGTCCTCCTCACCTGGTTATTGTGACACTCCAGTGCGGTAAAGGATGAGCCAATGCCTTGGGGATTGAAAGATGGGCAACCTCTGAGTTGCTGTCATTGTGATAGGTCAGGGCTTCTACACAGGGTTGCTCTCTCTTTCTGGTGGCAGCAGCATCCCTTGGCTTAGGGGTAGAACTGTCACCTCTGCCCCCATCTTCACATGGTTACTCTCTGTCTCTTTCCTCTTCATTCTTTTGTGAGGACACTTGGCATTGGATTTACTGGATAATCCAGACTGATTCCTTCTGGAAGGATCACTTGATCACACCTGCAAAGACTACTTTTCCACATAAAGTCTGGGAGGGAGGATGTGGGCATGCAGATATAGTCCCCTTCCATCATCCTCTGGGGATGCCAATGATGGCCTCATTCTGCCCTGAAGGGAGCAGAAGACAAGGTTGTGGAGCCCTTTCTGGGGTCTCAGCAGGGGCTTGGCTGGAGGAGTTCCTTTAGTAGCTGTTGGACAGGGACAGGGTAGGGCAGGCACTGTATAGATAAATACAAGGAAAGCAGGCTTTCTGGACAGGGACAGGGTAGGGCAGGCACTGTATAGATAAATACAAGGAAAGCAGGCTTTCTGGGCCCAGACCTGTCTCTTCATTCATGGAGAGACCACACAATACAGGTGATAGGCATGGGCTCTGGAGCCAACTGTTACTCTCAAACCCAGACCGCACACTCTTGAGATATGTGACCATGGGTAAATCACTGAACCTTGGGTTCCTCTTCAAAAGGGAAGTAACAGTAGCTCCTAGCTGGGGGCTGTTTGAAGGGTTAAAGGATCTGAGGGGCTGTTTGAGGCCTCTTCTCCTTCCATTCAGTAATACCTTTGAAAGCACTCACTGTGCACGAGGCACCATATCAGGTGCTAGGGATATGAAGGTGAAAGAGAGACGAACTTGATCTCTGCCCCCACAGAGCTTCCAGAGTGTGAAGAAGGTTAGACAAATAGCCTTATGGCACAAATTAGTTTGGGTGGGGTGAGAGTCATGAAGTACAGGTAGTTATGTGGTATGTCTGAGCTGCTCAGGCCTGGTGGGGTTACCTGGTGGGAGGAAGTGAGTCTGACCTGCCCACCACACTGCCCTCATCATGGGTCTGCCCCTTCAGTGTTCCTTAGCCCACCCTCTTTCTAAAGGTTCCCCACCCCAGACCAAAGGTGTCCTTGGGCCTGAGCTCAGAGCCCTCTAGCCCCACCCCTTCTTGGCCTGGCACTTGGTATGTGGTAGGTGTCACTGATGAGTGACTAACACTCAGAGGATGGGTCTGGGATACAAGGAGGAGCCCCATCTCTCTTCATCCCATGCTGGGTGCTCACCCAGCTTGATACAGAAGTAACCAAATTCTCCTGGGTGCTGACCCGAGGAACTTTCTGTCTAGACTGGGTGGGCTGCAGCACAGAGGCTAGAAGTGCAGACAGCCTGGGGCGAGCCCAGTTCTGGCAGTGCTGGGTAGTGGGAAGACGAAGGCCTGGGGGCTGATGGTGCCTGAAAGTCATATGGGATCTAGGGCAGCCCCTGGATGTGCTGTGGACTGAGTGTTCCAGCCACCCAGAAACTGTACAGGTGACCTCATTTTGTTTTTTTTTTGGGGGGGGGAAAGCCTTGGTAGAGGTAATTAAGGATCTTGAGATGAGATCACCCTGGAGTATTCAGCAGGCTCCAAGTCCAATGACCTGTCCTTGTAAGAGAAAGGCAGAGGGAGATTTGAGACACACAGAGGGGGAGTCCGTGTGGAGAAAGGCGGAGACTGGAGCAAGGTGGCCACAAGCCAAGGAATGCCAGCAGGGAAGAAGCCAGCAAGAACTCTCCCCCAGAGCCTTCAGAGTGTGTGTGGCCTGACTGACCCCATTGATCTTGATTTCTGCTGATGCTAAGACCCTGTGAATGGGCAGTGTTCTGGGGTCTCCCATTGGTCAGGCTTAGTTTCTGAGAGCAGTTATGGCCCCAGGCTCTTCCTTCCATCCCTCTGCTCCCTTTCTGACCATTTTCAGGTTTTCCCTGCACTCTTCCTGTGTCCTCCACCTTGTCTTGCACAGGCATCTCCCCCAGTAAGTATCTTGCAGCCCTTAGCCCTAGTACCTGTTTTCTGAAGAATCCCAAATGCCCTGTGAGAACTGGTGAGTTGCGGTGGCGGGCCCTGGTGGCTTCCTCCACTGAGGCTGCAACTCCTGTGAGGAGGAATCAGCCATGAGCCTTCCTCAGACACTGTGGAGTGAACACATGAACTCAGAGTTAGGGGCCCAGCCTCAGTTTCCTCTCTGTGAAACAGACTGGTCAGCTCAGATGCCCAGCTTAGTTTATTTTACACCAGAATATTTATTATATTTTGAATACATCTGTTACTTCATATTAATATGAATGTCATTGAGCTTCCTAGCCCTGTCATTTATCAGCTTTGTGGCCTTATACAGTTCCCTGCCTTCTCTAAGCCTCACTGTCCTAGTCTATAAAATAATAGCATGTGGCCTGTAACAGTTTTTGGAAGATTCATCGAGTCAGTATATTTACAGTGCTTACAATAGTGCCCAAAACGTGGCAAGCAGCTTATATGCATAAACTACATCTGACATTAACCTCATGGCTACTTTCTCCTCTCCCGCAAATGCCACCTTGGGAAGATGGAGGAAGCCTGGTGGAGGTATATCTCTTAGACACCAGCATCCAGAGTGGTCACCGAGAAATCTTGGGCAGGGTCACAGTCACTGACTTTGAGAGTGTGCCCGAAGAAGATGGGACCCGCTTCCACAGACAGGTGAGCACGACCCTATCAGGAGGTCTGCCTTTCCTTCACCCCTGTCCTGGAGGTAGGGGGAATCCACCACCCCTGAGCACTGTGGTCACTCTCCCCAGTAGTCACTGTTACTGCCCCTTCCCTGCTATCAGTTGTGGGATGGGGTGTCAGTCTGTCTAGCACCTGCTGATAAATCATGGGATGGGTGGCTTTTTCATACGGTCCTTGTGTTAATGGAACAGGCGAGCAAATGTGACAGCCATGGCACCCACCTGGCAGGGGTGGTCAGTGGCCGGGATGCTGGCGTGGCCAAGGGCACCAACCTGCACAGCCTTCGTGTGCTCAACTGCCAAGGGAGGGGCACCGTCAGCAGCACCCTCATAGGTGAGTGACAGTGCTGGACAGCAATGATCTCTCTGTCTGGACCTGGCGGGGAGGGAGAAGTAATGTCTACTGATCGAAGAGGCTGAGGTCGTCTCTGTCACAGAGTTCCAGTGTTAGAGCTGGCAGGGCCCCCCAAGTTATGGTGCAAATGGAGAAACTGAGCCCCCAAGGGGAGGAGGCACAGCCCAGGTAGGTCCCTGGTCCTTGATTCTTCTCAATCCTATTCCCTCCCCTTCCACACCTTTAAAATACTGTGTCTTTTGTTCTGTTGTCTTATGTCCCTATAAACCCTGAGGAGACCTAAGCCAGTTTCCCTATCTCTGCTTACTTTCCTCCGAAGTTGGGGGGCTCACTGCCTGCATGTCTGACTGGGCCCTGCAGGGCACCCTGGCCAGGCAGACTTGGTGGGGGAGCCAGCAGCAGACTTTTCCCAGACTTCCACAGGTTTCTTCATTCAGTCCACCAAGGGTAAAGGGATGAGGGGTAGGCTCTGAAGGTCCCATGAAAAGCCAGGACTCTGGAGGCTATGGACAGAGAAGAGAGAGGGATCTCCCAGCCCACCAACAACTTGCTGTTATCAGCAGACTGAAGCCTACCTTTAGCCAGTGGGCTGTTGGAACCGTCTCCATTCTGTGAGCGTCCTGTGGCCTAGAGAACTGGGATCTAACACCAGCTCGGGGACTTGCCGCTGACAGCTTCTCCCATCCTGCTCGGGCTCCTGCTGTCATCCAGGGGGTGTAACTGGAGCAGCCTCTCAGAACCTTCTGGCTCCAGACTCTACGCCCTGAGGCTGGCATGTGTCCTTTGTTAAACAGTTTGTAAAACCAGCCAGAGACCCCTACCCAGGGCCACACAGTTGGAGCCATGAACTTTCAGGGCACTGACTTGACCCCAGGCCCTGGTCAGACTCTGGCTGTGAGCTGGCCCAGGCCAGCCTATGTCCACAGGGCACTGCCCTGAGGCTTGCCTGTTCAGAGCCCCAGCTTTGATGTTCACTTACAGGCAGGAATCAATAGCCCCTGGCCCACCAATGATCCCTGGCGCCTGGGCCACCCCTTTATTGATTGCCCTTGGCCCAGGCTGGCCAGTTCCAAACCATGTGGAGGGAGGCAACTGTTCTCCCTGAAGGCCCTTCATGCTGGAATTTGTCCCCAAGGACTTTCTGGGGAAGAACAAACCCTCTTTGGGGTCCTGGTTAGGGTGTGGAAAGCCTGTAGTGCATCTTCTGGCCAGAGAGCACACAGGAGCTGTCACTTTCACTGTCACCACAGATGACTGAAGTGAGTGACGTTTGTCAGGTCTGAGCACACAGTTCTGCATGCAGCAGGTATCTAATAACCAGCAGCTGTAATTGTGGTGCTTATCCTTCACCTCCATGTCCACTTCCCCCTCCCTCTTCCTGGGTGTGAGGGGCCTTGCCAGCTGTCTCCTAGGAGCATGGCTGTGAAACTCCAACTCCTGTCTTGGTCACAGCCCCCTGGGGATGTCCCAGAGGTGCAGATCCAGAAGGTTCTGAGAGGCTGGTCCAGTTACACCCCCTGGATGACAGCAGGAGCCCGAGCAGGATGGGAGAAGCCGTCAGCTGCAGGTCCCTGAGCTGGTGTTAGATCCCACTTCTCTAGGCCACAGGATGCTCACAGAATGGAGATGGTTCCAACAGTCCACTGGTGTGGGTGGCCGGAGGCAGGACTCAGTCTGCACACACAGCTGTATGAGGGCAACACATGGTGCAGCTGAGGCCAGAGGAAGCCACAGAGGCTTAATCATGGGGGTGGTCGAGACAATTTGAGGAAGCATCTGTGCCTGTTTTACAGTGGGTGGATCGACAGTGGTTAGCCAGGATGGGGCTCAGGTTCCTGTGAGTCCAAAGCTCCAGTCTGGCGGAGGAACATCTGAGCCAGGCCTAGAGGGTGCAGAGGATTGTGAGGTCCCAGTGGGGTCAAGGAGCCCCTCCTTCCCTGAGGCTAGGCTTACCTCTCAGTTCCTTGGTTTCCTGGAAGGACATAAGGATAGGTTTTGTGAGGATCCTGAAAACTCACACATTCCGGCATCTAGAGAGGCTAGCACGGAGAAGGCCTGGGGCTGGCTGGCCGTTGTTTTTGGCTCCTGTGCTTTTGTGTGTGTGTGTGTGTGTGTGTGTGTGTGTGTGTGTGTGTGTTACGTGTAGTATGAGTTTTAAGGAATTGGTTCATGCAGTCTGGCTGGCGAGTCTGCAATCTTCAGGGCAGGCTGACATGCCAACTGCAGACTGACCCTGCAGTCTTGAGTTGGAAGGCAGTGTGGAGGCGGAATTCCTTCTTTCTGCTGGGGTCTGTCACTTCTCTTAAGGCCTTCAACTGGTTGTCTGAGGCCCATCACAAATGGATGTCATCAACTTTACCCAAAGGAAATGAGTAAATGATTTAAATGTTAGTCACATTCACAGCAGCATTTAGATGAGTTTGAGCAAACACTGAGGCACAGAGTTGATAGAAAATGAACCATCACCCCTCCCTCCGAAGGAAGCATGTCTCCCAGGAGGTGGCCTTGTCTTTGTCTTCTCAGGCCTGGAGTTTATTCGGAAAAGCCAGCTGGCCCAGCCTGCGGGGCCCCTGGTGGTGCTGTTGCCCCTGGCGGGTGGGTACAGCCGGGTCCTCAATGCCGCCTGCCAGCGCCTGGCAAGGGCTGGGGTGGTGATGGTCGCAGCTGCTGGCAACTTTCGGGACGACGCCTGCCGCTACTCCCCAGCCTCGGCTCCGGAGGTAGGTGCCAGAAGGCTGTGAGTCGTGCCGGGTCCTGCAGGCGGTGGCCTCGGAAGTTGTCAGAGGCCCCCCAGTGCGGGACAGGGGTGGGATTTGCACGATCTGCTACATCTGTGCACAGCAGCGCCCTCAATGCCCGACCCCCACGAAGCCACGCCCACTACCTGGCCACGCCTCCTTCCTGTTGGTGCCCCTCCCAGAACCCTGGGTGGACAGAATGGCACCTTCAGCCTTCTCTTGGCCTTCCGTGCTTCCTGTCTCAGGCCACCCATGAGGCCTAAACCCAGCTACTCCCACTCCTGTGCCACCCAACCCCTCAATGCTACCGTGATCCAGCTTCCCCTCCCACCCCATCCCGTGACTGGCCCCCTGAGTGAGGCATAGGAACAGAGGCAGACCCCGGCCTCTAGGAGCTGACAGTGCCTGGGGCAGCCCTTCCTCTTCTGATTGACATTTGTAGGGCCCCTGCTAAGTGCTGGGCTGTGTGGTGCTGGGAGTACTGAGGGGAGAAAGCTAGACCACTTCAGTGGATTCAAAGCCTGGTGTGTGTGTATGGTGCGGGGGGAGGTGCAGAGGCAAACCTGGTGCTGTAACCGGGCCTTCTAGCTCCCGCCAATCAGGGGTTCCAGCTGTGGAACTTAAAATCACCTAAAACCCAGCACCCATCGTCTGACATGCTTGCTGTGTGTCTCCCCACAGCACTGTGGCCGCCTGAAACCAAACTGTCAGGTCACTGGCTCCCCACTGGAGTGCAGGCTACACAGGTGTCTGGCACACAATGGGAGCCCTGGGGCAGGGTGGGATGCTGGAGTTCTGCCTGCTGAGTCAAATTTTCCCCTGAAGGGGATATTTGAATGGGACACAAACAGGTGTGTAGGAGTCAGTCTGTCCCAACAGTCCTTCCCTCAGCTTTTTTGTCTGCCATATGCTGTCTTACCTTGCCAGGTGATTACAGTTGGAGCCACCAATGCCCAGGACCAGCCAGTCACCCTGGGGACCTTGGGGACCAATTTTGGTCGCTGTGTGGACCTCTTTGCTCCTGGGGAAGACATTGTTGGTGCCTCCAGTGACTGCAGCACCTGCTTCATAGCACAGAGTGGGACATCGCAGGCTGCTGCCCATGTGGCTGGTGAGTCATTGTCCCTCTGTCTTGGCCACCACAACTCTAACAGCCCTTTTGGCAGGCAACAGGGTCCTCAGTGAACAGACCTGATGATGCTGTTGTTGGCAGTTCCCACTGCTGTGACCAAGCAGATGAACAGCTAACGAGGAGGATTCGGGAGTTTCAGTCTGTGGTCACTTGGCCCATTGCCTTTGGGACCGTGATAAGGATGAATGTCATGGAGCAGAGAGCACAGTGGAGCAAAGCACCTCATGATGCCCACAAAGCAAGGAGAGGGAGGGAGGGGCCGGGGTTTCATACCCTCTTCAAGGGCACACCTCCAAGACCTGACTTCCTTTCATTAAGACACACCTTCTAAAGTTTTCACTTCCTCCCAGTAGAACCACAGGCTGTGACCAAGCTTTAACACACTGGCGTTTGGGGCACTCAGATTGATGGGGGAGGCAAGAAGGAACACAAAGTCAGGGCTCTGTCAGAGAGAGCCTAGAGGAGCCACTGGTTCAGACTTAGGGCAAGGGAAGGCTTCTTGGAGGAAGGGCATTTGATCTAGGGTTTGGTGGCTAAATAGGAGTTTACCTGGTGAATGCAGTAGCAATTACAAAGACCCAGACGTAGGAGAGCAGGATGTACTACTATCTTGCTTTCACTAAGCAAATAAATGCAAGTGGCTTAATTTCTGGAAGAGCAGCCTGGTATGTTTGCAGGTGTGTCTGTGCACATATGCTCTACCAGGAGTTCCCCAGTTGGAAAGGAGGACTGAATGACCATCTTCTCTGACCTTACCCCCACCATTCCCCTCCAGGTATTGCAGCCATGATGCTGACTGCTGAGCCGGAACTCACCCTGGTTGAACTGAGGCAGAGACTGATCCACTTCTCTTTCAAAAATGTCATCAATGAGGCCTGGTTCCCTGAGGACCAGCGGGTGCTGACCCCCAACCTGGTGGCTGCACTGCCCCCCAGCACCAGGGGAGTAGGTGAGTATGACGGCAGGGGTGGGCAGAATCAAACCCAAGATGCACGAGGCCTAAGTTACCTCGACAGTCTCCCACTTGGTCTGCAGAAGAACAATTGTCCCACTTCAGATAGAACTTAAGGGCAAAGGGTCTGAGAGCCTCGGCATGATGTCATGATGAGTTTTATGGAAAAGTTGACATGTTTCCCTGACTTCCTCTCCCCTACCATGAACTGAAGGTTTCTCTGGAGTCCCCTGGTAGGTGCCCCTCCCAGGATCCGCCTCACTGAAGGCCATCTTGCAGGTGGGCAGCTGTTCTGCAGGACCCTGTGGTCAGCGCACTCAGGGCCCAGGCGGACAGCCACCACTGTGGCCCGCTGTGCCCCAGAGGAGGAGCTGCTGAGCTGTTCCAGTTTCTCCAGGAGTGGGAAGCGACGGGGCGAGCGTGTGGAGGTGAGCTGCACCCCTCTGTGTCTGGCCTTTCAGCCTGGGCCCTCAGTGACTCCCAATCAACCCTGTGTCCTCTGGACTCTGTCTCCATCTGCATGCGTTAAGGCCTGACCCTGGTGGAGGGGCTCCTGGGAGACCCAAGACAGGCATCACCCACCTGGACACAGGAAAGGAAAGACAGGACACTGCTTTGGAAGTAGCTACCTCCAGGCCCTTACACTGAGGTAGCCTGTGGCTCTGGGAGTTGAACCTCAAGCAACAGCAACAGCTGAGGGTGGTGCACAGACATGGCTGGTGCTGGGTGTGGAGGGTGCTACCTGCCCAGGAGGGTGAGGGCAGGCAGGCATTTCTAGCAGGAGGACAGTATCAGGGCTTCTCAGGAGAGCTGAAGTGGGCCATGGAGCCCTCTGGGCTCTGTGCTGGCATCTCAGCTTCCTTTGTGTCTCTACTTGGAAGCTGCTATCGGTGCCCAAAAGAACTTAGAACTCACAGAGCTGTCTGATGGCAGAATAGCCATCCTTGGCTTGGGCTGAACTCTTGTTCTCAGGGTGAGGGAGCAGGGGCAGTGCTGAAAGGCTCAGGGGCTCGGACCTGAGGCCTGGGTGGGTCCCGGGTCTCCAAAGCCCCTTCTAAACAGGTTCCTGTTTCTGCCTTTGGCTCTCAGGCCCGAGAAGGTGGCCGGGTCTGCCTGGCCCACAATGCATTTGGGGGCGAGGGGGTCTATGCCGTGGCCAGGTGCTGCCTGCTTCCCCGGGCCAACTGCAGTGTCCACACAGCTCCTGCAGCCACAGTTGGACAAGAGACCAATGTCCACTGCCACCAGCAGGGCCACATTCTCACAGGTAGGAGACTGGGCCCCACCCTGGGTGAGGAGGAAGTACTGTGTCCTGATGCACCTGCCCTGAGGGCTTGGTCCTCGCGAGCCTGGATCCACAGTGTCCATTCAAGCCAGATTCTGACATACACACCGTGTGACTCTGCGCAGGCGGCTTCACCTCTCTCTGCCTTGGCTGCCTCAGTGCAGTGATGGAAGGATGACAGCTGGGGCTTAGGCCTGGATGCTGAGAGCTCACCAGTGGCCATGCTGGGTGGGAGGTCCAGTTCAGGGAGGCTCCCAAATTGGTCTTAAAGTGAGACAGAGCTTGTTTGAATTCCACTCTGCTACCCAGTGCCTGGGCAAATTCCTTAATAGTTCTGTGCCTCAGTTTCCTCACCCTGAAATGGGGAGAGTGGTGCTTAACTTAGTACTTACCCTGAGGCAGTACGCATTCTACCTATCATCGCCCATTGCTTTAACATACTTTCTCTGGTCTGGGTGACTACTCATCGGCCACTGTGTCAATAACATGCCCAGGTAGGTGTCAGAAAGGCACAAGTGAGGACCTCATGGGGGCCCTCAGGCATGGGTGCCCAGAGAGGGTTTTGGAGGGCAGGGGAGCCGTCTGGAATCACTCGCTCAGGACATGATTCTTCACTGGGTAAGTACTGGGGAGCCACTGAAGGTTTCAGAGCAGGAGGAGTCAGGCAGGAAGGGCAGGCTGGTGTGTGGGATGGATGTGTAGTAGACAGATGAGCCCAGTGGTGGTGCCTTGTCCAGGGCCAAGCTCCTTCACTCTCACCTTTGGGAAAACTATCAGGGCACAAGCCATTGTGGAAGTCACGAGAGCCTTAGACTGTCACTGTTGCCGCCACATCCCAGAGCCTCACTTCGCAGTTAAGGGAGCTGCACTTAGACTTGCTGAGTGGCTCTCCCAAGGTAATGTAGCTAGGACACGGAGCTCTGGTAACCATGACCCTAACGTGGTCAGAGCACTTGCCGTTGCACAGGTACCATGCTGGGACTTCTCAGCTGTGTCCTCGCTTTGTCTTTATAGCATCCCTGCAGGTAGGTGCTATTGCTCTCACTGTTTCACAAATAGGGAAACTGAGGCTCAGTACCGCTCAGTAAACACTGTTTATGGTTTTATAGCCAGCAGGTGTACCTGACTCCCAAGCCTATGGAAGGAGTCTCCAGGTGTCCCAGACAGACCCAGGTTCATGCCTGAACTTCTGCCTGCCGATGAGGAATGGGCCTGGAGGGACGGGGTTGTTGAACATCTCAGGCCTGCCCATGGCTCCCCTTCTCTGGATGGAGAGGAGACCAAGTTTTCCGTTAGAAACTAAGGCTCAGAGAGGTTGAAGCACTCCCCGAGGTTACACCAGGTCAGCAGCAGAGTTGAGAATCCAGGAGTTGCTTAGGCCAGCATCTCTTCTCTGACCTCAGATCATAAAGAGATGGGGTCCATTTGGAGGCAAGAGTCCCCAACATTCTAGTGTCTGAGCTGGCCATCCTCTGCCCCAGGCTGCAGCTCTCACTGGGAGTCAGAGGACCTTGGTACATACCATCAGACTATGCTGAGGCCTGGAGGTCAGCCCAGCAAGTGTGTGGGACACAAGGAGGCCAGCGTCCATGCTTCGTGCTGCCATGCGCCAGGCCTGGAGTGCACAGTCAAGGAGCATGGGGTGCCAGGCCCTGTGGAGCAGGTGAAGGGCCTGGGATGGTGGGTGTTGGGACCCTGGGGGTGGCTGGTCTGTCCTGGTTGGTGATACTCCACTGCATGGCTATGTATATGGGTGGGGTGGGGGACTGGGAGCTGTGCTGTTGTGTGCTCAGTGTGTGTGTGTTTGAGTGAGGCAGGCCTGGTTTTGTTCTTGTCCAAATTAGCCCCCCTGCTCCCTTTGAGGAGAACATGCATAAATATGGCATAAAGAAATGCAATACTGGGGCCCGGGGTGGTGGCTCAAGTCTATAATCCCCAGCTACTTGGGAGGCAGAGATTAGGAGGAATGCAGTTCAAGGTCAGCCTGGGCAAAATGTTGGAAAGGCCCTCATCTCACCAAACAAGCCAGGTGTGCTGGTACACGTCTGTGGTCCCAGCTATGAGAACAACATAGGTAGGAGGACCAAGGTCTAGGCTAGCCCTATGCAAAACAGGACGCCCTATCTAAACTGAAGCCAAGACTGGGCACTGGTGGCTCATGCCTATAATCCTAGCTATTCAGGAGGCAGAGATCAGGAAGAGCCAGCCAGAGCTCCTGAGGTCTTGGAGTTCCTGAGATCCTATTTTGAAAAAAGTCCATCACACACACACACACACACACACACACACACACACAAAAGGGGCTGGTGGAGTGACTCAAGGTGTAGGCCCTGAGTTCAAACCCCAGTACCGAAAAAACAAAAAACAACAAAAAAAACCAACCCCAAACAATACTTGTACATTTACTGATTGATCCATTTAACAAATCTGTTGTGAGGTTGCTCAGGTGCAGGGCCTCTGGGGAACTCTGCAGATGCAGAGGTGACTCAGCCATGACTCAGAGGAGGGGCCCCTGAGCAGGCCTGGAAGTAGAAGGGAAGGAATGGTCCTGCAGAGAGGGCAGGCCATGTGCCTAGGCCTGGAGCCTGACCGCCAACCTGTCAGAGCCTAAGGCAGGCAAGAACCCAGAGCCCTGTGCCTGTCACTCAGCCCCTGGGAGCCAGGGAGCCCCGAGGAGTCCACTCTGGGAGGAGCTCAGATGAGGTTTGACAGTGTGAGTCTGGAGACTGCTGTCTGGATGGTATGCTCCACGGGGATGGGTGTTTCAGATCCATTCTATCCATATGCATTGGCGCCCAAAGCAGCTCCATCCAGGCTGGTCTGGGTGCTGGGGAGACCAACCAAGCAAACATCTCTGCTTGGCCACACGGAGTATCCATTCTGGTCGGGGAGAAGGACGGTAAACAAATACATTACAGAGTCTGAAAGACTGCTTTGGGAAAAGTAAAGTAGGAGGGATCAGGAGAGGCCTCACTGAGTCCCAGCCATGCCAAGCCATGAGGACAGCACTGGGAAGACTATTCTAGGTAGTGGAGGACCACTGGGGCCAAGGTAAGAAGGGTCAGTGAGGAATGGCAGGACTCAGTGGGGACAAGATCAGATCAGGTGGAGCCTGGGGACCACTGTCAAAACGCTGGAGTTGCTGAGTGATCTGGGAGCCACATAGGGCTGAGTCTGATGTGACCAGAGTTGAACAGGCTCGCTCTGGCTGCTAAGCTGAGAAGAAGCTGCATGGGACACAGGCGGAAGCAGGAAGGCTGGAGGGGCAGCTACTTGGATGGTTCAGGCCTAAGAGGTGTGGTGGAAGCAGGGGTGGAGGTGGTGGGATTTGGGATCTGCGGATGGGCTTGGGTGAGGAGAGGAGGATGGTTTCAAGGTTTTGTGGAGCCACTGGGCAGATCCAGTTGCCATCAAGTAGTGGGGAAGGCTGTGGGAGGTGCCGATGCTGTGGAAGTGAGGAGATTTGTTGTGTTAGACACAAACCTGCCAGGGTGCAAGGTGCAGAGCAGACCTCAGTCACTTTGCTAGAGCCACACACTTTGGCCCCAACTGTGCTGCTGGGAGGAAGTGAAGCCCGTGGTGTGGGGCCCGGCTGTGTGTGATGGACACAGGTTTTCTTTCTCCCTGAACTCTTGGCAGGTCACCGTGGCCTGTGAGGCAGGCTGGACCCTGACTGGCTGCAGTGCTCTCCCTGGGACCTCCCTCATCCTGGGGGCCTACGCTGTGGATAACATGTGTGTGGTGAAGAGCCGTGGCACTGATGCAGCAGGAAGGACCAGTGAGGAAGCCCCATCAGCCACTGCCATCTGCTGCCGGAGCCAGCTCTCAAAGCAGGCCTCCAGGACACAGTAGTGACAGCTGCAGCCCAGGATGGGCACCTGGGCAGGGGCCAAGGGCTGGGTGTGTAGGGGACAGAGTAACTCCACCTGCCTTATGCTGCTGGTGCTGGCCGGGGCGGGGGGCTTTTTGCCTGGGAGGGCTCACTGTTTCACTCTGTGTGCGCCTCCCTGGCAGAGGTGTGGGAAGCCCCTACCTCATGGTGCCTGACTTTCTAACGTTAAGATGTGTTCACCTGCTAGCAGCTGTTCCCAATGTGGGCAGAATTACCTTTCATTGAGCACTGGCTGGGAGCCAGGCGTTCATTCCTTACGCCTCCACAGAGGTGGAGAGGCCAGAAGGGGCCAAGAGTCAGCCTGGAAAAGAGAGGGTGAAGGTGCTGGTGGCTCCTCACATCTTGCTTGCTCTGGAGAAGCCACTTAGGGCTCACTGATTAAACAGGGATCAGTTTCCCCTACCTCTTGGGGTGAGGGTGGGATGAGCCAGGCAGAGGTCAGAGACAAGAGTGTCCCAAGTGGGCCTGGGGCTGTGCCTCAGTACCTTCACTGTTCCATCGTTGGGTCTGTCCCCAGGTTGAGCCTCACCCCAGGGCTGACTTTTCAGTTTGCAGTGGAGGGCTACTGTATACTACATCCCTGTCTCTCCTGATCCCCTGTACTGCCTTGCACAGTACACCTTGGCACCCCTACTTTATGGAGGAAGAAATTGGGGACCAGGAGAAGAGTGCCTCTCAAGCACAGAAACTGGAAGTGGAGTGGTGCAAGGATAGGAGCACAGAGCTCTTTTTTGCTGCCCCCTCGCTGGGCATCCTAATTCTACAGGCAGCTGTGAAGCTACTTCACCTGCTTGTTCCCCAGCTGCTCCCTGTGGGCTACCTTGCCCCTTCATGGGGGCCAGCTAGAGGCCTGAGGGGTGGAGGGCAGTTGGGGGGAGGTAAAGATCCATCACCCACACAAGCAAGCAAGCGCTTGTCTATCCTTTGGGTTTCTTCTCTGTTGCCTTTTTATGTGAGAAGCTTTCTGACATGTTTTGCTTTTGTAACTTGGTATTTATTCTGGGTTTTGTATCATTTTTATTATATGGTGACTTTTTAAAATAAAAGCAACTTTGTCATGACTAGCCTGGACTTGACTGCATAGGAGGATATGGCACTGTTTGGCTTGCTGATAGGGGTGGGAGGAGAGTGGGGGAGTGGGAGCGCCTGGAGGGGTAAACGGGTATTTGGTGAGTGCTGGAATGGGCATTCACTCCTGGTGCCCGCCTGGAAATGTAACGAACATCTTCCTTTAGCCTTTTCCAGCCACCACACAGTCAGGGTGCCACGTCGTCAGGGTGCCTCATCTTGGGGGCCTGCCCCTTACAGCATTCTAGATGCTCTGTGGCCATGCCCACCCCAGAGTTCTGCACTCCCTGCACCCTTTCCATCCTTCTCTCCCTAGTCAAGGGTACAGACTAAGTGTGTATGGTGTCCCTTATCATAGGCCTGCCATGCTTCTGAGGGGGTCATGCTTGTCCACAATTATTGTTCTTGATTTAATATGAAGCAAGGTGTACTGTGACCAGTCTTCTGACTCCTAGCCGGACTACCTCCACTTTGCAGTAGGCCATCATTTAGTTCTTCTATGTGCCAGACTGCAGCACAACAAACTCTCCTCCCCATGGTGGGACCAGTGTCTGCCCAGGTCAGCAAGACCCTGTATAAGCACAGTAATTTTTCCCAGGATCTGTAGTGACTTTTGCCATTCTGACGCTAGATGGCGCCCTAGACTCAGCCATATAAATTAGGGCAGGGGTAGGTGGCATCCTCAAGGTTGGGGAGAGTCTGGGTGACAGCTCTTTGGAAGTTAAGAAAGAGCTGGATAAATCCTTGCGGTGGTCTGCCACTCCCTAAATAACCCATTAAAACTCATTTTACTCATGCAGGCTGGATTTGCTTGAATCATTCCTTGGGCTGTGGGCACCATCCCAGTTTGGAAGCATGCAACTCTTTTATGACTTTCCAGGAAATTTACGAAATGTTTGGCACCCAAACAGGGACTGGAAAGACCCAATAAAGAGTTTGGGAGAGCCTCCGATGGGGTGTCTTTGCTCCTCCATGTGAAGTGGCTGGTTTGCCTCCTGGATGAGTGTGATCCCGATGTGAGAAGGGAAAGCCTGGAAAATGCCAGGTACGAGGGAGTCAGAACACATTGTCGACTCAGAGTGGTCAGGTGGGATAGGATTGCAGGAGAGCTGTGTTCTTAGTTGCAGGGCTTCTGCTCTGGGCAGTGAGACATGCCTGAAGCTGAGGGAATTGTTCATTCGAAGGAGAAACTCCAGTTAGAAAGAGTGAGTGGTATCCTCTGCTTTAGCTTCTGATCTGTCAGGAAAATTAGATAAAGAAGATGGAGGTCCTAGTCTGCCAGTTTCCACCTGGGGGTTGGGGGAAGGAAGAGAGAGGGCAAGTCCACACTGCACTGAGAAATCCTGCTTGGGATTTGAAGACATGAAATCCATGGGAAGAATCAGACAGTGAGGAGAAGGAAAGTCATAGACAGCACCCCTAAATCTGGCCCCTGGTGCAGAAAAAGGGGAAGTCCATGACTTAGCACACGGATGGAAGTATTAATATTGGTCCTACTTGTGAAACTATGGTCACTAAAGGAATATTGTGACTCTGAGTTACTTGGCTCAGGGAAAACTTTTAAGCAGATCTCAAAGGAGCCTCTTCTAGCTTAACTTGTGAGGCTGGGGGGTGGAGGGATCGGCTTAACTGTCATGGAGGCAGAGAAGCTGAGCAATCTGACCCCCTCTCCTGAGGCAAAGGCTGCATATTCTTCCTTATGGACAGGGTCATACAGGCCATCAGGGACACCTGGATGTCTCCTCCCAAGGTCCTAATGAATGGAACAGAGCAGAAGACTAAGGCAGGGGCTGGTGAGCAAGCTGGGGAGCAGGAGGCTGTCTTTGGTGTTCAGTTCGCTGGTGGGCCACATTCACTGGAGACCTGAGAAAGAAGTTACCCCAACAAGGCCCTAGGGGAACAGGGTAGAGCCCTGGTGGCTTTACTGAGCCCACTTGTGGTGTGTGATCTCTGTGAGGTGGGAGAAGCTCTAGCAGATCCAAATGATTTGGATCACCTTGTGAGCCAAGTATGCAAAGTATGGAGGCAGCAACAGGGGGGTACTTTGGAGGAGAAACAGTCAAAAGGGCCCGGCAGAGTGACTAGGGGGTAAATGTGGTATGTGGCCAGTCACAAGGTACAATTGATCAAAAGCGAGATACAACTGATGGGAAGTCCAATGCTGTCTCAATAACTTTATGGAAGGCTCTGGAAGTGCAGGTTATACCTGTAGGGCCTCCGAAGCCTGAAGCAGAGGGTCTCAGGGATGGAAGCTTTCCCATTCTCCCCTCTTATGGTATGGTCACTTGCTGCAAGTGAAGGCCATACAGTGTGACTTCAGGCCATACAATGTGACTGTATTGAACTGTGCATATATCACTCCCCTAGTAATGTATGCTGGGGTGGATACCAGGCAGAGTGCACTAATTCACCGCAATCCCCCAAAACACAGACAGTGGGTGGTTGCAGATAGATACAGGGACAGGACAGAATTATTCTAAGGGATACCACTGCCAGGAGTGTACTGAGTTATTTCTCCTCCACTGGGGCTGGCAGAGTGGAACACTTATCTAGCAAGCGCATGGCCCTGAGTTCAAACCCCAGTGCCGCCAAAAAAGGAAACATACTGGTGGGGTGCTTCTGGGATACACCTTGCACACCACGGTTGGAGAAGTCTGCCAGAGGTGCCAATAGTGGGGGCAGTGACACACGGCTGGGAGAAGTGGGAGATGATGAGGCTCTGGGTCACATGAGACAGTTAATACCAAGAAGTATAGATTGCCAGGGGGATCTGAAGAAACCATGACTACCCTCAAGGAATTGGAGAAGGTAGTGCTTACTTGCCCTGTTCAGTCTCTTTAAGAGTCTGGTATGGACGGTAAAGAAGCCAGATGGCTCATGGAGAACGACTGTAGATTATACAGAACTGAGTAAGGCACTGCCCCTCCGTGCTGCTGCACCCAACTCTGCTCTCCTGACAGCCACTGATGTAGCAATGGGCCTCACTGTGCTGTGCTAGAGCCTGCCACTGCTTTCTTCAGTATCCTTTAGTTGCTGAGTCCCAGGACTAGTTTGCATTAGTTTAGAATGGACAGTCAGGGACCTTCAGAGCACTCCTCCAAGGTTATCTACAGTCCCACCATTTGCTACAGGATGCTGGATTGTGACATCGCTTTGTTATCCTGTCCACTCACTGTGAAAATGTTTCATTGCATAGATGGTGCTGTGCTAACCTCTGGGTGTCCTACAGACAGAAAGCATCTGGAAGGTGGGTGTCCTACAGACAGAAAGCATCTGGAAGGTCTACAAGTGCCCCTGAAGGAGCAGCGGGTGGGAGATCACCCCCACAGCAAGGCCTGGCATAGATATAAAATCTTAGGGAGTCTTATGGTCGCTAAGACACATATGAAACTTGACAGTCATCGAGAAAGTTTTGCAGGCACCTGTACCAAATGTTCAGCAGTTACAGGTATTTCTGGGACTCCTGCGGTACTGGCACATTTTCATATCCCACCTTGCTCGTCACCCATCCCTTAATGTAGTCTGATAGAGGGGCTGTATGGAATTGGGACACCAGAGCTTGAGGCATTTTTTTTGGGAGGTAATGGGGTTTGAACTCAGAGCCTATACAAAGCCCTGAGTTCAAACCCCAGTACCTCCAAAAAAGAAATGCCTCAAGCTCTGCTGCCCCAGTGCTCTGCTCTTGGCAAGAGTATAATCGTGTAACACCCCCTCCACGGCTCAGGGAACACTGAGGAAGTGAGATGGAGCTGAAGGAAGGCGGGGAGTGTACTGTCACTAGTCCTCTTACTCCTAGCCAGAATACCTCCATCTTGCAGCAAGCTGCCATTTAGTTGTTCCTATGTTCCAAACTGCAGCACAAGCCCTCCTTCCCACAGTAGGACAGTGTCTGCTGAGGTCAGCAAGACCCTTGATAGGAGCAAGGACAAAGCACACATGGTCCCAGGATCTCTTATGGTAGTTGAGTCTGCAGTTAGTTCTGCTGTTCTGACACTAGGTGGCGCTCTAGGTTACATTTTGGCTATAGACATGGCGCCATAAATTTGGAGCCATATAAGTTAGGAAACTTTAAGGTTGATGGGTATAGTGGGGTGGTGGCCTTGCAGGCTCTTTGGGAGTTGTGGGCCAGGCCAGGTAAATACTGTTTCTGTAGTTGTCTGCTGCTCCCTAGAAAACCTCTATTAACTCACTTTACTCATTCAGGGTGGATTTGAGTCATTCTTTGGCTGTTTGGAGGCACGTGACTCTTTTTAATGCCACCCTGGGAAATTCACACAACACATGATCTCAGATCTCTTCCCATTTTGCAAAGTATAATTGTTCCATTCAGTGTGGGACCTCCTGGTCTCTGCTGAGGTTGGTGAGTGTCACTGTCTTAAGCAAGGGCCCATGTCATAAATAAGGAATCTGCCACAAAGGCAAAATCCTCCCCAACTGTTTCCTGGTAATTGTCACGTGGAAATTGCTCAAGAGCCAACGGACGCTAATGGCTCAAGTGCTAGAACTGTATCTCTAGGCCTCCTGGCAGTTCTGCCTGCCTGCCTTATCCCAGGATAGCTCAGGATCCATGTCAACTGGTTTGATGTCCACAGCCCGACAGCTTGCTTTCTGAAGGTAACCAGGAGTTGCGAAGAGCCTGGTCTGCAGGGAGAGGAGGATCTGCAGGGAGCAAAGGGGAGGGGACCCATGTGAGAACACAGGACAAGAGGACAAGAGACAGACTGGAGAAGGAAACTTGGTCTGACCAGGGACATGAATGCCGAAGATAACAGGCGAGATGTCCAAATGCCATGAGTGTGAGTTTGGCCTCCTCCAAGCTTTGTAAAGGACCCCTTGAGAGAGGAAAGATGAGAGAGAAGGCCTAGAAGACCCACGCCCCCTTGCTGCAGGGTGGCCATCACACTCCACTGGTGCAGGGCAATGGAAGGAACCAGAGCCATGGGGCACCAGGCCTCCCACCACGAAGCTCCCCACGTCCTAGTCTGACAAAGAAAAATGTCTGTGAAACTCCAACTCTTTATTTTTGAAAAATTTATTTTGTACTCTTAGAAGCGAAGAACTCTGCCACACATGAACCAAATTTAGAATTAAGATTCATCCCTAGTTTATCTACTTGCTTTTGAAATTTTATAAACAAGGTTTTGTACACAAGAGGTAGCAGAGGAAGATTCCAGTCTGCTTGTTCCCAGCTCAGAAGGTACTGCACACGCTTGATGTCAGCAGGGAGGTGGGGTGAGCTGGGTGAGCCTGATGGCTCAGTTCTCTAGGTCCTGCGACTTAAGTCTGGTTGTCAGTGACCAAGAGAGCCTGCTAGGAGAGCAGTGGGCAAGTTGCTTGTGGGGTGCTCGCTTGTCTGTCCCAGGGTGCCTGAAGGCAAGGTGGCCGTACAAGGGCAGCCTGGACTGAGGGAGCTTCTTGAGAACACACGGCATTGAGTCAGTTGTGCAATTCCTGCTCGATTTGCAGACATTGTGAAAGATTATAAAAACATCTTCACCCAAAAAATTGGCAGTAAAAATGACAACTCTTCCAAGGCAAGCCTGTCACAATTGTCACTTTATGGTACATTTAAAAAAGTCCTCAGCAGGTTCATTGACTGCAGCCATTGGAAACCGGGTGGTTACTGGCAAACTGGAAAGATGCTCATTGCAGCAACAATGTAACAAAATGAACCAAAGGATAGAGTGATGGTGAGAAGATGCAGCTTCACATGAGGACGGCAGGTATGGGAGTGGAGGGCGCTGTTTCCATAGGAAATAAGGGACTAGAAGAGGTAATTTCACTCCTGAATTTGGGCTCCTGAGTGCAGTTGCCAGCGACGATATCATCGCCAGCATTTCAATGCATATACCATGCAATCTTTCTGTGAGGATGGATGTGGAGAGAAGGTGAGGAGAAAATAGTAGGACATGGGGTGCTCAGGTATTTAAAATCAACTTTAGAACCTCACATTCAAAATTCTAAGACCACCAGAACCATACCAACTTTGCCACTCGCCTCTTGTCCATTTCTGAGGGCACTGTTCTGCCCTTCCATCTTGTCCTGTTTGACAACAGCCAGCACTGGCCTGCTGTAGGTTACAGAATTACACACCGAAGCTAACTGACCACAAGGGGTACCTTCACAGTTGGACAACCAAAGGGTTACTTGAAGTGCACAGCAGGGGACGGCGTCCTCACAAATGCAAAAGCAACCAAAAAGGCACTTTCGTGGGCTGGCCGTGCCTCTCTAACTTGGCTAATTTAGTCTAGCGTGACAGCCTGGCACTTCCCGAGGTTCCCCAGCCCTACACATGGTGAGGGGAAATACAGCAGAACATTTATCTAAAGCCAGAACAGGGTTGAAACGGTATGAGCAATTCAAATACAAAATGTACAACACAGGAAAAGTCTGTGCAATCCCCTCATCCCTCCAAAAAGGAGCTGATATTGAACCGGAAATGAGGTGAATGATGCTATATTGACCGGGAAATGCAAAAAATGGGTATGTGCTCAATTGCTTTCTAGTTATTTCTGAGGAAGTAAGTCTTAACTCTTGCCTTTTCAGTACTGATCACATGAAGGAGAAACAAAGTCTTGAATTCCTTCTCTGCATTACAATTATGATGAAACTCAGGAAGCAGTATCTCCAACCCAGGTATTTAACTTCATATACAACCAATACCAAGGGCCACAGTAATTATGTTTAAGTGAAAGCAAACGATTGCAGATCACATGATTTGAGACTACAGTTTATTCAATATGTCTCCAAGCATTAAAAAGATAATTTTATTAAGTCAAACTCAATAAATTATATGTGAAAGTGCTTTTAATTTCACTCTAAGAAATTTGTTTTGGGAACAACTCATTACTTTAGTGATTGATGTCAAAGGATGCACTCTGTGCTTCTGGAGAACACAGCATTTTTAAATTGTTTTTTTCAATCTTAATCATGTAAGAAAATATCCTAAAGAGCTTAGTTAATGCCCCAATTTTTGATGCTGTTAATATTTCATCAAGGTCCAAGCTTATGCCCAGGGCTCTCAATCAGACCCATTGGAAATCCTATAAGAGGAGGGAGACATATTAAATACAAAGGTCCGTGTAAACTGAATTTTTTAACTACTATTTTACAATGAAAAGGAATTTTATCATGTATCTTTACATCATTTTAAAGTGGTATTCCTATTCAATGTTACTATAATAAGGTTAAAAATTTGCCCCCACACACCTAAAAGGCAGCTTGTTTTTTTCACCTTAAAATATAATAACAAAAGAAATTTCTTTTGTCATATCATAGAGAAAGCCACAGCTTTACCCTCACTCTTGTATGTTCACGTAACAGAAGTCTGCTACCAGCTTTATTTCCTAAAATATCCATAGAAGTGTCAATCCACATACAGACTGTGCCCCTACAACAGCTGTCCATATGCTGGAGTTCTGCTGCCAAACAGCTCCCAACCTTCTAGGGACCAAAGAAGGCTTTCCTCCAGAACACACGGCCCTCCAGAGTCACACAGCAATCCAAGCTTGGCCTCCAGGCTCTTCTAAGGGCTTTAAGGATGAGATTCTCATTTCCTAAGGTGCTGAGCACCCAGCCTTGTCAGGTGCTGGGCACAGTCCTTTAAGGGTCAACATCATCAAGGTCACTTCTTAACTCACCAATCATCATGGGAGATTCTGAACCCTGCAGAAAACAATAAGAAGTTAAAGATTACATAGTTCAAGTTATAGGAAAAAGTCTGCGATACTGCATCCCTTATTGTGTTCTGTAGTTTAAACATGTCCTCATCTAGCAACTTGATTCTATGTCTATTACAATAAAACATAATAGTAATTATTTCTTCTATTGACAATTCATGATTATGTAAAACCTGAAACAACTCAGTAATCTGCCCAATGCCACAACTCTCCTCCACCCCTAACACAGACAGGCTCTCATTAAAACTCCAGGTGAGCAATGGGACGAAGTAGAGAGGGACTGGCTGTTATTGACGACTACTTAGTGCCAGGCACTACATTTACTAGGTGGGGTCTGGGTCATTCCTGGGTCTGTATGCTGCCTCTGTCACCAACTGGGTGATGCTTTATGCTCTTAAATAGTTTAAAAGACCTACCATGTACCTTTGAGGTGATATAGCTAGAGTAGGGATGGAGAAGGACAAGGGACAATCTCTTGTGTAAGTGACAAGATGATTGGGAGTTAGATGGGATGAGTGGGAGGAGCCTGAGAGGACAAAGCTTATTTGATAAATTAACATTCAGAAAATGTTGCAGGAGAGGTATGCAGGGGTCAACAAGCAGGGCCATCTGGAGAACTCCAGCCTTTTAAGTTTTCAGCAAGTGATCCAGAGAGAAGCCAGAGTGGAGACAGGAGATGCAGATACTAAACTGCTCAAGACAGAAGACAGGTGAGCACTATGTAGCAGGTCAGCAGCAGTCACAGCATACCCAGTGTACATTTTGGCCTGGTACACAGGACTGCTGTGATAAGGGACACTGATGGAGCAGCAGCTTTGGCTGAGAGGTGAGGAGGGATTGGACATGTTGTAGAGACATCAGGAATAAAAGAGCTAGATGTTCCATCTAGTCTGGAGCTCAGCAGAAGCATGTGGTGGTGAGGATAAAAGCATTCAACCAGGCAGTAGGAAACAGGACAGAGATCTGTGGGATATCTCCTGGGAGACTGGAGGAGGCTGAACTGGGAAGGAGTCTGAGAAAGAAAAGCTAGAGGGATCCAAGGAAACAAGAGCCTGAGGGGGGGTCACAGAAAGCCCAGAAGAGTGCTTTATAAAAGTAGTGTCAAGATGCTGCTGAGAAATGCAAGCCACCCAAACTGTGGCGTAGAAAAGATAGAGGGAGTCAGGCTGCATGCAGGAGGCTGAAGAATGTGTGTGAGGTAAGAAATGGGAGAGTTGTTTTGGTAAAGTCTGTTTGGGAAGAAGAGGAAAGAAGGCAAGGATGAGAGGGCTCTTCAAGAGGATGGGAGAGAACTGTGTTCAAGATGAGGTGGGGTTGCGGGATTAAATTTCTGTCAAGATGACTGGGATGAGGGATGGAGGAGGCAAACTTCCTCTACTGTCCCAGGGGGGACACAAGACAGTGCAGACACTGGGCCGTTAAGTCTGGTCACAGGAGCTCTTGTTCAGCTTTTATTTTCTCTGCAAATAAAGTAGGTGATGACGTAAGCTGCTGAGAGTTAACCCGAGTGAGGTCTCATCACTATGCTGGGCCTCAGCCATTCTTCTGTAAAATCAGGGCAGTAGATGCCCCGTGCAGTTGTTAGGAGGGTCTGAAAGGTAACATTTAGAGGAAAGGACACACCCACCACTGGCAGCACTGGGTGGGACTGAGTGGATGACAGGGAGACCACCATGATGGAAAGTCACAGGCTAGCAGAGAAGATGGAATAAATGTTCACATTAGAGTTCAGTATTTTGCACATATTAGGTGTTTCATAAATATTTCTTTTCTCTATATAGTGATGAGTAATGATTATTTATTTTTAAAAAGCTAAGCTTATATTATTCTGAGTCCCCTGGTAAGTAGGTATAAATTCAATAGCATGAAAGGGGGGGGGGAGGGACGCTTTCCTTTTAAGGGTCTGTATTTCCAGGAAGGCTGGGGAAAGCAAAGGAGAGATTTTCAGCAACTGGCTGCATGAAGTGAACAGCTGGATCCGTATGTATGTGGCCAGGTTCATCGGGCCCATCTTCATGCTGGTAGCCTGGCGCTTCTTTCATGCTGCAGTGTTGTTCACCTGTGTGAGGTATGGCTGTGCATTCTCAGCTGACAGCACTAGAGGGTCAGGCTGCCTATCTTTACACACATTCTCTAAGCAGGCACTGTGCTTTTATCCAAGGACAGGCCCCTGTCATACCTGTTGTAAGTGCCTCTCTCCATTCTCATTGGCAGGACTGCTCTCCGACCCATTGCTGCTTCCTGATTGCTCTTTTTCATTCAGCAAAGCTGTGGCATATGCTAATGTGTCCTGCAGGAGATTTAAACATAGCAGAAAAAGTTAGAAGCTGTTCCTATAGCAGCAACTACCTTCAATGACCTTTGGTGGCACTGATAGCCTGGAGACTGGTGCTTTCACCGTGGCCACAACACCCCTCTGAACCCTGCTGGACACACTGGTTAACGTGCTTCTCATCCAGGCAAACAATTTGCTCCGATTTGCAAGACTGCACAGACCAACCTGTTGTCTTTTTAGAAATTCAGTGGCTACTTCTGCTTGTTCTCATTTCAGTACCCACCTCTCTTCTTGGAGCTGTGGCTACTGAGAACCCTACTTGAGGGTTTCAAAGTACACAAGCACAAAGACACTCTCACCTGAGCTGAGATAGTTCTCTGAAAGGTTTTTCCAGTTGAGGTTTCATTAGAGACATTACTCTGTGGTGTCCAATAATGTTCTGACATCTAGGATGAAAGGTCAAGCAGGACATCAGAGCCCATAGTAAGCCCCTGTAAGCCTATAGTTTCTACCACTAGAGATAAGAACCTAAAAAGCATAGGATGTTAAGTGTATTTTCCATTACCCCAGGAGACCATGGAGGCTTTCCCTTCACTCTCAAAATCTCAGGAAAATACTGTTCTTTATATAACCATTCCTATCTTACCACCTACAAAAACATGTTCAGTAGCCCCTCTTTATGCATGGTTTTGCTTCCCTCAGTTTCATATACCTGCAGTCACTCATACTCAAACATATTAAACAGAAAATCCCAGAAATTAAACAATTCTTAAGTTTTAAACTGTGTACCAGTCAAGTGTATTGTGATGGTATCTTGCACTGTTCTGCTTTCCTGGGCCAGATATAAATCATTCCTTTGTCCAGCAATATATCTATGTCGTCATATATGCCACTGGCCCAACACTGTCATGGATGGACAGTTTTTGTCATTGACAGTGTGTCAGAATTCCAACAGCAGTATAGCTACATCACATGCCTATGGCATTGATCCAATCATCTCACATCATCACAAGGGTGAGCACAGTATAATAAGACATTCTGAGAGAGATAGAGACCATATTCACCAAACTTCTATTGTGCTATATTACTGTAGTATATTAACTGATTTTTCCCTCCTCTTTCCTATATTATTATTGTTGTTAATCTCTTACTGTATCTAATATATAAACTAAACTTTATCAAAGACATGTATATCTTAGAAAAAATATTTCTAAGGTTCAGTACTATTATCTGTGATTTCAGGCATCCACTGGAGTCTGGGGGATATATCTCCTACGGAAAAGGGGCTACTGTATTAAGATACAAAGTTAACACACACAAGTTAAGTATTGACTGCACTAAAAAAAAAAAAATGTGTGAAGTCTGAAAATAATTGGAGGTCAGTCTACCAATCAGGTTTAGGAGGTTTTTCCTGATAAGATATCTGTTATTGAATCCTATGTTACAGATAGAAAAGTTCAGAATTCACTTACCTTCTTCTGTAGCCATTGTACAGCCCAACTCCAGTGGTGTGAATTTTCCTTAAAGTATTCTTTAGCAGCAGGACACCTGGTGATCAAGATTTTTATGAGTGGAATATTTTCTCTGCAAATATTCTTATTCAATATTTATAAGTATCTTTGTATTTTGAAACATAAACACTACTTTTATTTTTTGTTTGGACAGGTGATACATACCTTTAAACATCAAAGGCAGCAAGAGGTAAACATGCAGTGCAAAGTCTCTTACCAACCTATAATATCCATTCAGTCTGCTAAAACTCAGAGTTGGAAAAAAAAAATACCCCAAACCCCACAAATGATTGTACACTTAATAAATGACTCTGTGATAAAATCAATCTATAATTCTTATGATATGAATAAGAAAGAATGAGATTATGGAAACAATAATTTTAAAACATGTCCTGGGAGCCCCTTTCTCCCTTTCCACATTACTTTGATTATCTAGAAAGTTGTCCTTAATATTTGAAGTCAGCACTGAAGGTGATGTGGCCATCAGAGCGTGTGTAATGGATGTGTGAAGGATGTAAAGACACTGATTGAGCAACTGCTGCTATGAGACATACTGTGGCCCCAGCACCACTTGGAAAGTCACTCCTGATATGCCATCAGTATCAAGTCTAGCTACTGAACCCACAATTGTGGCAGGATGATACCCATCTGTGTTCACATCCTATGTCATCTGGAGAAAACACATTTAGGCTTTCTTTCAACTGGGCTCAACTTTATCTCTGTTTAGGAAGTTTAAATGCAGCAGATTAAGCCCAACAGATTTCTCATTCTTATTCTGGTGCAAGTCCAAGGATGGCTAAAAATTAGAAGCAAAATAAATCAAGCAAGAAAGGCCTGGTGCAGACAGTGAGTACAGTGTGGTCTGAGTAGTAACCTTGGGTCACCACTCAAGACATTAGTCTTGCTTACCCATGGACTACGCATAGAGTTAACCTAGCACAGCACTGAGATTCCTCCTAACATTAAGACCTATGCCTCCCAAGTGTTCACTGATCAAAGAACAGATAAACAAAACGTGGCAGAGATACACAGTGACATATTATTTAGCCTTCAAAAAGAAGGAACTTTCAACATGTGCTGTAGCATGGACAAACCCTAAAGACATCTTGCTAAGTGAAATCAGTCAGTCACAAAAAGATGCATGCTGTATGGTTCTACTTCTACGAGGTTCCTTGAGGAAATTCATGGAGGCAGAAATTAGAATGGTTGCCAGAGGCTGGGGGAAGAGGGAAATGAGGACTCAATGTTTACTGAGTAAAGCGTTTTAGTTCTGAAAGATGGAATCAACTCTGGAGATGGATTGTGATGGCAGTTGTACAACAGCATGGTTGATCTCAATACCATTGAACTGTATACTTAAAAATGGTTAAGATGGTAAATTTTATGTTATGTATATTTTATCACAATAAAAAAAAAGACCCTTCACTGTAAGGTCAATCAACCAGTGTTCAGGTTTACCTCTATGACTGTAGGCATGTTAGTTTTAAACCACGATGCAACAATTAGCTACCCTCATGAGACTGTTGCAAAGATTAAATAAGACAATTCACGCAAAGTGCTTGGCACAGTGCCTTGGTTCTTAAGTGTGCAACAGCCATAGGTGACAAGATTTTGTTTTAAGAGGCTATTTTGAAATTGGGGATCTATGGCTTGAAAGAGTTGACAGTTAATGAAAGAGACCTTGGGAAGGTTTGTAACTTTTGTTCTTAAGGTCCCCAAATCTGCCTCAATTTCTGCCCTTTTGATAATAGGCTTACTGGCCTTTTTTTTTTTTTTTCTTCCTTTTTCCTTTCTTTTAAAAAATTCCTTAATGTATGTTCCCTCTTTTTTCTGAGGGTCATTTGAATAGGTTTCTGTGCCTTCTGGACAAGCATATCCTGAGTCAGAATCTCTCAGGTCCTAAAACAAGTCAGAGGTTTTTTTTTTCCTAATCATATCTGATTTGTAGTTAACACACCATTTCTTCCCTGTGTTTTAGGGTCCATACTTACTTCTGAGCAAGAGTTACAAGAAATTTGACACACTGGTAGCAGCGACTGCTGTCCACATGATTACTGTGGTGCATCAAAGCTGGAGGAAGAGAAGACATTAAACAATAAGGCACTCAACTGAAACAATCCATTATTTTGATAAGTGCACGGTGAACAACTTCACCAAAAGCATGGAGATGCCTGACTCAAGAGAATCTCCCAAATTCTAATAGGTAGAAATGCTATTTTAAATATATTAAAAAAAAAATACATGGTGGTAAAAGTTTGATCTTCAGAAGAACTTTCAGAAGAAAAGGAACAATAATTTCAATAGGCTGATTATTCAAATTTCTCCATATACCATACTACTAAGAGTAGTTATAACAGTTATACTTTGATAAGTGGAAATTTATGACATTAGTTCTGTTCAACAAGTATTTCCTGCTCTGTATTTTAGGAGTTTAAAAGTAAATAATACTTGTCCCTGCCAGGCTTGGTGGTGCATGCCAGCACTCAGGAGAGGCTGAGGCAGGAGGACAGAGAATTTGAGGCCAGCCTGGGCTATACAGTGAGACCCTGTCTTCAAATAAACCAAACCAAACCAAACAAACCCAGCAAACTAACCACCGGCCCCAATAATACTTATTTTTGTTCTTGATGCATTTACAGTTTTTAAGTTCCAGAGAGCTTGGGTAATGCTCTCACTAGAGTATACTGTTATGGGGGCCTGTAAAGTTGTTGCTACAAAACTTTTTAGCTTAAATCTCCTTTCAGCAATAAAAGGAGGCCCTAAATCTATTAATAGTTACATTCTGCTTTACAATGGGAATATACTCTGAACAATGCATTACTAGCCAATTTTCATCACTGCGTAAACAATGGAATGAATTTACACAAAGGAAGAAGGCTACCCATCGCTAGGTAACATAATCTTATGTGACACCATTGAATGTATGGTCAGTCACTGACAGAAATGTTATCATGTGGTACACAGCAAAATCTAAAGTGATGGTGATTAGCTGGAAATGTAAGTGGATAGTGGGAGATGAACAGGATTAGTTTTAACTGAACTTTTCCCAATATATAGCTTATTAAAACTAAGTTAGTTTTCTGAGAAAGAAAGCCCTGATAAAAAAACTTTTATGTGCTTGCTTTGGCAACATACATACTAAAATTGGAACGCAGAGAAGATCAGCATAAATCCGGCACAAAGATGACATGCAAATTTGTGAAGCATTTAATATTTTTAATTTTTTTCTTGTCCTATCTCAAGCATTCCATACTTAAAACAAATTTTTATAAGGAAAACTATATACTTCTGAAGAAAGAGATTGAGGAAGACTATAGAAAGTGGAGAGATCTCCCATGCTCATGGATTGGTAGAATCAATATAGTGAAAATGTCGATACTCCCAAATGTAATCTACATGTTTAATGCAATTCCCATCAAAATTCCAATGACATTCATTAAAGAGATTGAAAAATCTACCGTGAAATTTATATGGAAACACAAGAGGCCACGAATAGCCAAGGCAATACTCAATCAAAAGAACAATGCAGGAGGTATCACAATACCTGACTTCAAACTATATTACAAAGCAGTAACAATAAAAACAACATGGTACTGGCACAAAAACAGACATGAAGACCAGTGGAACAGAATAGAGGACCCAGATATGAAGCCACACAACTATAACTAACTTGTCTTTGACAAAGGAGCTAAAAATATACGATGGAGAAATAGCAGCCTCTTCAACAAAAACTGCTGGGAAAACTGGTTAGCAGTCTGCAAAAAACTGCAACTAGATCCATGTATATCACCCTATACCAAGATTAACTCAAAATGGATCAAGGATCTTAATATCAGATCCCAAACTCTAAAGTTGATACAGGAAAGAGTAGGAAATACTCTGGAGTTAGTAGGTATAGGTAAGAACGTTCTCAATGAAACCAGCAGCACAGCAACTAAGAGATAGCATTGATAAATGGGAACTCATAAAGCTAAAATGCTTCGGTTCACCAAAAGAAATGGTCTCTAAACTGAAGAGAACACCCACAGAGTGGGAGAAAATATTTGCCAACTATACATCAGACAAAGGACTGATAACCAGAATATATAGGGAACTTAAAAAACTAAATTCTCCCAAAATTAATGAACCAATAAAGAAATGGGCACGTGAACTAAACAGAACTTTCTCAAAAGAAATTCAAATGGCCAAAAAACACATGAAAAAATGCTCACCATCTCTAGCAATAAAGGAAATGCAAATTAAAACCACGCTAAGATTCCACCTCACCCCTGTTAGAATAGCCATCATCAGCAACACCACCAACAGGTGTTGGCGAGGATGCGGGGGAAAAAGGAACCCTCCTCCACTGTTGGTGGGAATGTAGACTAGTACAACCATTCTGGAAAAAAATTTGGAGGCTACTTAAAAAGCTAGACATCGATCTACCATTTGATCCAGCAATATCACTCTTGGGAATATACCCAAAAGGCTGTGACACAGGTTACTCCAGGGGCACCCGCACACCCATGTTTATTGCGGCACTATTCACAATAGCCAAGTTATGGAAACAGCCAAGATACCCCACCACTGACGAATGGATTAAGAAAATGTGGTATCTATACACAATGGAATTTTATGCAGCCATGAAGAAGAACGAAATGTTATCATTCGCTGGTAAATGGATGGAATTGGAGAACATCATTCTGAGTGAGGTTAGCCTGGCCCAAAAGACCAAAAATCATATGTTCTCCCTCATATGTGGACATTAGATCAAGGGCAAACACAACAATGGGATTGGACTTTGAGCACATGATAAAAGCGAAAGCACACAAGGAAGGGGTGAGGATAGGTAAGACACCTAAAAAATTAGCTAGCATTTGTTGCCCTCAACGCAGAGAAACTAAAGCAGATACATTAAAAGCAACTGAGGCCAATAGGAAAAGGGGACCAGGAACTAGAGAAAAGGGTAGATCAGAAAGAATTAACCTAGAAGGTAACACCCACGCACAGGAAATCAATGTGAGTCAATGCCCTGTATAGCTATCCTTATCTCAACCAGCAAAAACCCTCGTTCCTTCCTATTATTGCTTATACTCTCTCTACAACAAAATTAGGCAAAATAGTTTCTGCTGGGTATTGAGGGGGTGGGGGGAGAGGGAGGGGGCGGAGTGGGTGTTAAGGGAGGGGGTGGGGGCAGGGGGGAGAAATGAACCAAGCCTTGTATGCACATATGAATAATAAAAGAAAAAAAAAAAAAACAAGAAAAAAAACCCAAATTTTTATGAGTAGACAATGGAAGTGTGGGTAAATCCTGAGTCTGAGGCTTTAGTTTTTATCTCCTGGATGGTTACTGAGTAGAAGGAAAGATTTTTGGTGTCAGAAAGTGGCACTTGTAGGAAAAGTCACAGCATCCCTGAACCTTACCTGATGTGGAGAAGACCCAAACTACTACTTACTGAGAAGTAGGCGTGTCCAAGTGTTGAGATCCTCAGGTTTTAACTTTCCCAACTAGGATGAGGAAACCCGGTCACCCTAACCAGACTTCTAACAGATCAGTCACGCATCAAAGTGGGGACAGCATGAAGGGCACACAGGTTATCTATACAATCACTGCAGATGTGTTTACAGGTCGGGCATACTTGCCTAGCAATCCATTTTCTGTCTCAAACACAAATTTGACTCGCTCCACTTGTATGGGATCTTCAATGACCTGTGACAGGAAGGAGACAAAGGTTGGCGAGTGAAAGAAACAGCCTGTGGAGTAGCCACTGCTGCACTGACACTTCGCTTAAGAGATTAATTTAGTTTCTAAAGTAACAAAACCCAATACGAACAAATACTATGCCATTGCCATGTATCTCAAACATCTTAAATTCTAAACTAAGACAAACTTTTAAGTAATTTAAAAACCTGTTGGGTCTGGGGACCTAAAGGACAGATGAATGAGTATCCCATCTCTCATGGAGAGCACTATGAGCCCTGCACCCTGAGGAGTTACATGGTCTTATAAATCTGCCATGGGGTGGATAAATGGAATGCTCTCAAGGTGTTTCTTAAGGGGCAAACTGACCACCTCATCGAAGAGAGCCCGTGAGCATGAATCCACAACCAATGGAAAGAACCCACCTAACCTTTACCCTAACCCAGAGTTAAAGTGTCCATAAAAAGCCCCAGCCTTCACATCAGCGGGGAGCCTCTGGTTTCTGGGCTTTGCTGCACTGCTCTAGCTGTACCTTTTTCATTCTTTAATAAATTCTACTTTGTGTGCCAACTTGTTCCATGAGTCAATCTGCTGTCTCACAAGCCAATTCTTTGGCCTGTGAAGGCAAGAACCCTTGACACCGGCCTGCAACAGACCTATTTACTTCCTATGTTCTACCACCTGTATCTATAGTGGGCTATGTGGACAAGTATTTCAGGATCCTAAGGACAAGAGGTTTACTCTTTCATTTACTAAAAATGTGGAAAATTTTGCTATCGACAGACTCTAAACTTGATGTGAAAGGCTTTGCTTTGCAACATGGGCTGGATTTACATTTCACTTCCTGCTCTATTTTTAGTTCGACACTGAACTGTGCACCATGTAGTCAACTACCTGATCAGTTCAACAATCCACAGCCCTATACTTGAGGAGCAGCCATCTTCCAAAGTTTGTAAGCAGTAGGACCAAAAGGAGATAAATGACCAGAAACACAGGCTTTTAATAAATGCATCATGATGTATTTTCTTATTCCAAAGCATTTCAATGCCTCCTGAGTCAAGGCATATTATTAAGCAGTTGTAATCTAAAAGGAACACAGTCCATTCCCCACTCCTCCTCCCATAGCATCTGATTTTTTCCCTTTGTAGTAACTGATTTTTCCCATTTGCCCCATTACTGAAATTAGAAAGCATTCTATAATTGAGTATACTCAATTTTACACCTCTTTAAATATTTGTAATAGTGCATATAAAGATCTGATGAGCTGTAAACCCAAAGATGAACCTCTAAGGGCTGTCCTGAAGTCAGTAACATTTGTTTTTAGCATGGTACATTATACACTGCAAGGCCTCAGTAAAGGCTAATTGTCATTCTTTCAATCTTAAGAGCCATTACCCTTTGATCTCTGACCTGTAACTATCTGTGTTCGTGGCTGGTTCTGAGGAGGTACATGTTTGTTACTGCTCATCTCTGTAAGCAACAGTGCGTGCAGCACATGACTGATATTAAGAAGACTCAGTAAATTCAGACCAAAAAAACCCCCCAAAACTAATAATCTGTAAGTACATGCTGACTAAAATAAATAACGCAAATAAATAAGAACATTTATGACTTACCAATATTTCATGAAGCAGTTGGAATGTATTCTTTAACTCGTGGGGTGGAGCAGTTTCTAGTTGGTTCTGAAATTTTTTTTTTGAAAGGATAAAAACTCCAGTAACTTTTCAGTGGGAAGCACATCTGAGTGGTAGAATCAACTGCTGATTCTACCACTATCTGGCTCATCTTGGGTAAGACAATTCCCTCTCTGGGTTTCCCAAATATTAAATCTAGGGACAAATTAAGGATATCTAAGGCCCTTCCAGGTCAATACTCCATGATACTTTGCTTTGAAATTAGGGGGAGTGAGGAACAAAAGCAAAGTGGAAAATTCTAAGTCACTAAACAAACCCAAATTTATGTATGTACATATCCTATTTTGCTCTCTACAATATGGTAGTGTAGCTAAGAGAACGCAAATCAGAATGCTTTGAGGTATGCATGTGTGCATGCTTTGAGCAAAGTATATGAAAACATTATGAAATAAAAAACTTGTTGAAACACACTAAGTGAAGAAAAGAAAGCAAGGTCCATAAAACTCACACTCCTCTGTGCATTTTAATAAGTTTATACACCTATCAAGTGGGAGAGGACACTGTGCTATAACACCACACTTCCAAGGTGCCAGGTATGGTACTAAATTAGCACTTTAATATTGAACCTCCCTAAATCCTCATAGCCTGTGAAGTCAAGTCATATTTCTTCCTATTTTGCAAAGAGAGAAATTGACAAGGTCACATGAGAAAGCAGCAAAGAAAGGGGCATACTCATCTCTGATATAGGTCTGTATAGAAAAGGTTGAGGGCAAAACACCTTTTGCTCTCAAAGCGCTTAAAGACACAATCCACTAAATCACCTGCTACTTGTTAATACCACATGTATCACTATTATAAATACTGGTATAGGAAATCCTGGTACAGTAGAATTTTTGAGGGCAGAAACTTGTACACATAGTATGAATTAATGTAAAGAGCTAGAAGAAAACATACCAACATGTCAATATTGTCCCTTGGGGCAAAGTGGGAAAGAGCAACAATGGTGACTAGTAATGGTCAAAGTAGACTCTGGGTTTATTTGTATGCTTAAATTTTTTCAAAGGAAATACAGGAATGTATAATTTATGTAAAGATAAAAAGCTAATAAGAATGACATTTGTTCCAATGTTTTTCTAGTAACACCTACAAAGGCAACAAGCAATGTTTTAAGAGCATAAGCTCTGGAGCCACTTTCCTAGGTTCAAACCCCAACACTGCCACTGACCAGCTGTATGATCCTGGCTAGTTACTTACTCTGTCTTTTAGTTTCTTCAGCTATGAAATGGTGATAACAATAGTATCTACTACATAATAAGACTTTAGAACTAAGTGAGTTAAACATACAATTTGACATGATTTTGGCATCCAATAGGTGCAATGAGTGATAGTGATTACTATATTAATTTGTGCTTCATAATTAATTATATCACTATTTTAGAATACTTTTGATTTTTAAAATATTGTGTGGGGAAAGTCTGAAATTGAAAAAGTTTTGCACAACGGTCACCAGAGCATTATTACCTATAAAGGTTAAGTAAATTATGGTATTTGAAAGGACGAAATACACTCACTGGTAACTCTTAATGACATGGGAAAATAGTGACCAAGTGAAAAAAACAGAAAACTATAAAGATAATAAAAACCCAATTACGTTAAGATATATGAATAGAGAAAAGGACATAATAAATAAAATAGAGGACAAATTACGAGATTGGTCAGGGTGATCACTAAATACAGAGAAAAAGTAATTTTCTTACTTCTTCAGTTTTCAAAAATGAACATACACTACTTTTGCAATCAGGAAAAAGAATGTTATTAAAAGAAGCATACTGCCTGGGAGCAAAGGAAAGTTCTCCCAGCACCTGCATGGAAAGCTGTCAGCTGTCACCAGGTTTAACTGAGGCTGTACCTTAATGAAATGCAGCATTGTGAAGGAAAAGTGCTCATTACAGAAACTGCAGTACACCACCATCTCGATGAGCGCCAGGAGCGAGCCTGTCAGCTCTCGCAAAGCGAACATGACCTGGTGGGAGAACATGAAAGGAGTAAGTGCTCCTCCAGACACAGTAGGCAGTCTGTTGTTCTGGCTTTGACTCAAGGTTCCCAGAACTGGGTTTCTGATTAGAGGTTGATGGCAGATTTCAGAGTGTTTGAGCCTGTCTGACATTTTTGTAATTTTGTCAAATGCATATTTTCTTCCAGGACAGAGTCATTTTCATCAATTCTTAAAGGCAAACGCTGCTGAAATATTAATCACCAATAGATTAATACAGTTAAGCTTAAAAAAATTCTGAAGCATAACACTGTGGATGGAATAAAAAAGCAGTGTGACATGATGTATATAGACTCATATACATGTAGACCAGGTTTTAGAAAATGGAATTTGCAGAAAGAGTAGCTCTTAAGTGGAAGGCGAGGCTTGGGTTGAAGACGGGTCGATAGTCTGGGCCCAACGGAGGGCTCAGAGCAGTCCACTTCTACACTCCTGAGGTTTAAAAACACGGGATTCTGAAATGCAGTATTTTAGGACTAGGGATACACAAGAGATTGGGATTAAAACTTTCTGATAATAAAGTAACGTTTATAGGTGAAATGCTATTTATAAGCTTCTGGACCTGGACCTACAGATTCAGTTCCTGGCTGAAACAGAGGGCAAAAGATATTTTCTTCTAGCATGTATGTATGTATGCATGGAACCCAAAGCCTTGTACGTGCTAGGCAAGTGCTCTATCACTGAGCTACAACCCAAGTCCTAACTACTCTTTTTGACATATATGTAGAAAAGAATCATTTCTCCTCTTAACAATATTCCTCTTCTTCAGAGTAGTATGCAAAATATAGTAACAAAACAATTTTCCCTGATAAGAGAAAATAGCATAAAGAGAAAATTGCTTAAGCACAAGTACCTACCTCTAATAGATAAGGTTTCCCTTCAGACAAGAACAGCAAGGCTTCTACTTCCTCATGGAGGGGCAGCAGAGGGCTTGAAGGAGCAATGCTAATGGGTGGCCGTTGTTTAAATATGCCAGGAGCTTCAGGAGACCAAAGGAACAAAGCAAAACCTGTCTTACTTGGTGTGACTCCATGAAGCAGACACCCACAGACTGAAGTGTCTCTCAAGAGTCACACACATAATTACTAAGTTCTTAAAACCTGATCCCTCAGTGTAGTGGGGAAGTGAGAATCACTGACAAGAGAAAACATTTACTTATTGCCTTCAAGGCATGCCTCAGTGATAACTGTGGACTCCTAGTGATTCCCATGCAGGACAATCTTTCAGAGAGGTAAAATATAAACAGTGTATGAAAAAAAAGTACCCAGAGCTGCTGCTGGACAAGTCACTTTTGTTCCTTAAATAATTTTCTTCAACATACCACCTGTGCTAAAGATTCAACCCACATGGAAGGGTTACTTCATTTTCTAGAAAACACAAGGATGCATACTCTAATTCTTTTTAAAAACTACTTAAAATCATGAAATTAAGTAACTTTGTCCTTTGAGATGAAAAGGTCAGAGTCTAGAAGCAAACTTCACCTTACATCCATCTGATTGCTTTTTCAATATCCCTTTAGAGTTAATAAGCATTTTTCTGCCAGGATGAACTCCGGGGCTTTTTTCAGGTTTCCTGCCTTTAGATCTTACAAGCTACAGGACATTACAAGCCTACTGTGGGCTGTGGGGTCTTGTATTCACACTTAGGTGTTATGTCACTTATTAGCTTATTCTCTGTGTCTTAGTTTCCTCATCTATAAAAAGGGACATACTCTCACAGTTTTGCTGTGGGGATTAAACACACAAATGTAAAGCATCGTATGAAAGCACAGGATGTAGAAAACACCAAATATAGTTTGCTGCTCTATTGTATTATGATTGCTGTACTGCGAGACAAAGCCTAGGAATAGAATGAACACACAGTACACACACGTGGTTAGGGTACTGGATAATCATATGGGACATCCGGTGTCTTTGTGAATGCTTTACTGGTGGATGACAAAATAGGGAATGCTACTAATTCTATCTAATATTCAAACATATTTCTGTAATTTGCATCTGAACCCTTTTTATATTTGCAAAGTACTTTAATATTTTATCTCATGAACCCTTATTACACCTGGGCAATTATGTCTTTAATATTTTCATTTTGTATCAAAGATCAGAAAGGTCAGGTGGCTTGGTCAAGTTCACACAGCTAAGAGACTTCAACCTATACCTTGACTATTTTTCTCACTGTATCAGTTGTTTGAATTATAGTGACAAATATACTCTGAAAAGCCTTTAATCCTAGAGTGCTTAAAAACAAACCAAACCAAACTTATCCCACCCCCCCATTCCGTCCAATAAATGATTTGATTCATTTTCTCTTCTGACAGACTAGTAAAATCAGATGAGGTTTAACATGAAAACAAAAATTTTAAGTGCTCCTCAAATATCAAATAACCAATTCAGAAACAATATTCATTCAACTGCTAACACCAGTACTTCCCATACTGGAAAAATTTGGCACTTCTTTATATTTTAGATATGGCAAAGCTCACCAACATTCCTTTGGGACGAGACATCTGAGTGCAAAACAAGCAATGCTACTGTATTGTGGAGATTCCCAAATTCTCGTGCTTGTGCTGAGCTCCATCGGCGTATCTGTCATCAGAGAAGACAAAGCACGTTGGAGAGAGGATTTGCTAGTTCATGATATACTGGGCCACGATTATTTCTTAAAGCCTGTAGTAGAAGAGGTCAACGTATAAAGAAAGTCACAGGTTTTAAGCCACCCTCAAAGGGCTTCCCCTAGACATATTAAACTCTAAAACCATTCCCTTCATGTACGTAATTTAGGGACCGAGTGCTCAGAATGTGCCAGATCATTTTCCAGTGGGAAACCTTAAGGCTGGAGGTTGGGAGCCTGGCTCTGCCTTGTCCACTCACTGTATGTGCGCCAGGTTCTCCAAAACAGTATCTAATCTCTTGTAACAGCAAAGATAATACAACTGTTTTGCCTACTTTGTGGTTATGAGGACCAAAAGAGAAATTAAAAATGAAAATGTTTCACAAGTAATGTGTCCCACAAATGCAAAATAATTACAGCGCAGCCCAAACACAGTAAGTCTTAATCAACCACTAGTGTCAATGAAGTCCCTGTGAAGAGCCTGAAGTGAAAAAGGAATATCGTAAATCTCAACACCCAAAGCAAGGGTTTCAGGACTTCTTTCTTACTATGGAAGATTAAAAACAGCAGAGTGGTGTGACAGAAGCTGAGGAGCCTAGGCAGCAAGTCTCAACAAAGGAGGAAAACTCTTCCCATGCAATGCACAGCATGCAGGAGAAAGGCTTTGGCTTTGAAATCCTAATAGCTGGCCATGTCCCTGTTCTACCAACACTTAGCTTTGTGACTTTTCACAAGGTATTTTCACACCTCTGTGCTTTAATTCCTGTCTGAGAATGGGATTAAACTACCTATTTTACTGAACTGTGAGTATCCCAGTACACCACCACAAGGTGACCAGACACGTCTGGTACACAATAAGCACTCCACAAGTAGTACTTACCATTACTGCCTGTTAATTAATACTGTATGCATTTAAAATCTACCAAACAGGAGATATAATGGAAAGAAAAAACACACCAACATAGGAACTTCAAACAGAAGAGTCATGCGGATACATCCAATCCTATTATTATAAAACTTTCATGTGACTAAAAGCATTGAATCTGTAACATTTAGTTTGTAACTAACTTCACATTTGGATATTAACCATCACCAAAATATGCACAGGCCCAGGGAGAAAGGAGAGGACCCTGATGCTACCTATTCCTTGGTCTTTTGAACCCTACCCCCTCCTCTCATTAGAATCTATCTTTCTCTTCTACGAAAACTCATACTTCCCACTGTGATGGATATTCTAATCATTTCCATGGGTCATTATCAGAGTAAATTCCATGAAGTAATCGACCTCCAAAGAATTTTTAAAGCTGACAAAGCACTAGTTGGTGCCTGGACACATAGGAAATTAAACATATTTATCACCCACAGAGCAAAACAAGGTAAAATTCATGGGCATCTTACTGGGAACACAAAAGCAGCCATTACCTGATTGTTCTGCCGACTGGCCCCAAGGAGGAAACTGATCATGTGCCGGAGTGCTGAGTGCCTCAGAAGAAGATCTCCAGCCCTAATACCTTGCTGTCACCAGACATTGAGAAAGGCAAATTACATTTCTATCCAGACAAAAACCTATAGGCATTCATCCACCCATCCATGCATTCATTCAGGTGGTATGTAGGTTTAAACTTAAGGCTTTATGCTTGCTAGACAAGCACTTTAACACTCTAGCCATGCACCCATCTCTTTTTCTTTCAGTTATTTTTCAGGTAGGATCTTGTGGTTTTGCTAGGGGCCAGCCTTGGACCATGATTCTTCTTCCTGTGGCTCCTATGTAGCTGGGATTACAAATGCACACACCACTCTTGGATTGTTAGCTGAGATGGGAGGGTCTTAGTAACATTTTACCCTGTCTGGCTTTGAACTGTGATCCTCCCAAGTTTTAAAAATATAGCTAAATGAGAACTTTTAAGAAGTCAATATATTTTTAAATGCTGTAATTTACATATGACAAATACTTCTTAAAATCTAATAGAAATCTCTTGAGCCTCACAATGGCCACTCCAGTTAACCACTAGTTTTATTTTTTTGGGGGGGCGGCGCCTGGGGTTTGAACTCAGGGCCTCATACTTGTTAGGCAGGCTCTCTACCACTTGAGCCACTCTGTCAGCCCATAACCACTAGTTTTAATGCAGACTTCCACTGTCATCAGTGAGTAACTATGCCTACCTGTATCAGAATTCTTGCAAGTAATATAATCCTTTAATTTAGATTTTTAAGTAGAAACAGTCAAAAATTTTCCCATGTACAAAATTTTTTCAGAATATAAATCTGCAATAGCAGGAGAAGATATTAGAAAAATAATCATTTACCTTTTGTACAAAAGTGTTGAACAGGAAAAAGTACTGAGCACAGTTTTTACAATTTTCTGGGACATCTTTATCCAAAAGCGCAAGTAGTACTTCCAGTAACTGATGAAGGCTTTTTAACTGGTTAGATGAAAGAGTAAATTACATAAAGAAAAAGAATATAAGACATTCATTTGTAACAGGATTAACTTCAAGTAAACTACCGTAAGAACAAAAGGAAATTGATACAATCCTGTCTCAGATTCAGACGGAATTATGCTTTGGAGAGCAAAAACAGAATTATCAGTTTTACCTTATGGGAAAAGATCGGTACTGTAGCAGTACTAGGAGAGCCTAGTTTCATTTCCTAGATTTCAGAGTCAAGGGCACCATCCTATTGCCTAGTAGTGACAGTTTCTCCAGAGCCAGTTTCTGTCTCTCAAAAAAAAGGGTGGGGTGTTCAGGGGTTTGTATTTCTGAATCCCTCCCTCCACTATGTTGCTTCTTCACATAGTCACAGATGCAAAGAATAAAACACAGACACAGGCAGAGGGGCTAGAAACCAAGCCAATGGAGTGATGGAGAGCAACAGCCTGACAGGATGACAACGGCAATACGGACTCAACTGGGAACTTACTTGAAAGCCCGCTGACGCCTCATGGAAAGCTTTGAAAAACATTTTATTTGTTTAGAAACCATTTTGGTTATGACATTGCTTCTTCTTTCCCTCCCACCCAACTGCTTCTAGACAACTCCCTAGAAATTCCTCTGCGATCTGAGCATTAAGACCAGGCTTACTACTCTTTATTGGTTTGTTCCAGTGAAGATGGCATTCATAGACTTCTGACATCTTCCCATCCGTCCTGTCATACCCATGATATATACCCTAAAATTTAACACTTATATAGCACTTCATTTTCAAAGTACTTTACAGTATAAATATGAAGTGGGTGGCAAGAGGCACCATTTCTATTATGGGGAAAAACAGACATGAAAATGCATCAGTTGAGTATCAAATAGAATTTACTCAGGCAAATAGCTTCCATGCTTACATCCTCTACTCCCTTCCCTTTCCATCACTTGCTCTTCTGCCTGCAGAGATGTGGGAGTTGCTATGGCCTGTAGGGAGACTGCACTGATCCTGCGCTTATCAATTTGTTTAGTTGGTAAGGGGGGAGGAAGGAGGAGAGCAAGATGTCTTTATGTTAAGCATTCTTGAGGCACCTTAGAAAACTTCCCCAGGGGTGTCTCAGAGCAATGGTATTCAAATGTCCTAAGTGCCCTAAATGACCTACTTTAGATATTCTGCATCTAGGTAAGGTTTTGTTTGAACACTGGTTCTGCTATTTAAGCTGATGGAAAGCTACTGCCTTACAGTAAACCATAACTTACTAATGATTTCTAGAACTGAAAGACTTCTAGGACCAAAAAGCATCTGGTCTCCTACTCATTCTGGACTAAGCAAAAGCTCCTGAGCTTATCTAGTATAACAGTGCACCCTAGAACAGGCAATGCTTGAGAGAACTAAGTGCTTGAATGCCAGGCACTGTTACTGGATCAACATTCTTCTAAGTGGACATGCTCAAGGCTATACAGAAAAGCCAACATCTGAATTTGAAGCAGCAATTTCTAGAATTTGTATTTAGTTTATTGAGACACACTGCATCCAGCCAATGTTTATGAGGAGCCAATTTGTTCTGCAAATAACATTTTTCAAAGTTTTCCATGTAGTGTCAGCTGTTTGAAACAGCAAACTTAGGAAGTAACTGCTGTACTTGCTAGGACTTAATAACAGATTAAATAATTAGATTTATGATGTATGCCATTTATTTCCCTAAGATAATCTTTGGGTGCTGAGGATGAGAATAAACACCATAGTTTGTTTTAGCACGTGTGTATGGAATTGTGAACCAGAAAATACATTGCAGAAAGTAGGGTTAGGAAGAATAAAAAATTCAGAGGCACAGAAAAAAGCTTAGGGGAATAATGGAGAATGTCAGCAGTGTCCCTGGATGAATGGCACTATTTGGTTTGGTTGCCAACTGCAGGTTTAGATTAGGAAAACAGCTTGAGGAAAGAGATAAAGACACTCAAAATGTCTAGACTAGAGTGTCTAGACTCAGGTTAATATCAGTTCAGGGAGATCTAATACAAATTCTCGAGAGAAGATTCTAAAATGAGTGTTCTAGACAGAAAATCCTGAAGCAGATCAAAGCCTACTGTGGTTTCTAGAACATAAGGAGCAAGAGCAAGGGACAGAATGTCTTCTACCCTAGAATGTATGTGAAAGTTATGCAACAAAAGGGTGCACAATATGTGGTAAAATGATCAGACTTCAATCCTAGGCTCTCTTTCTTATAATGTATAACTGAGAAGATTTTATAAAAACAGAAAGAATAAGTGAAATTTTAAAGTGAGACTGACCTTATCCTGATAAAACAAGGCACTGTCTAAGGTCTTCTCCAGAATGGTGGCCACAGCAACCCGTACTTCTCTCACACTGCACTCCAACAAGAAAATCCTAAAATAAAGAGAAACACGATGTAAAAAAGAATAAAACTATGTAGGTGTTGGCGTGGATGCGGGGAAAAAGGAACCCTCTTACACTGTTGGTGGGAATGTAGACTAGTACAACCACTCTGGAAAAAAATTTGGAGGTTACTTAAAAAGTTGGACATCGATCTACCATTTGATCCAGCAATACCACTCTTGGGGATATACCCAAAAGACTGTTACTCTAGAGGCACCTGCACATCCATGTTTATTGCGGCACTATTCACAATAGTGAATTCAAAGTTATGGAAACAGCCAAGATGCCCCACCACTGACAAATGGATTAAGAAAATGTGGTACCTATACACAATGGAATTTTATGCAGCCATGAAGAAGAACGAAATGTTATCATTCGCTGGTAAATGGATGGAATTGGAGAACATCATTCTGAGTGAGGTTAGCCTGGCCCAAAAGACCAAAAATCGTATGTTCTCCCTCATATGTGGACATTAGATCAAGGGCAAACACAACAAGGGGATTGGACTATGAGCACATGATAAAAGCGAGAGCACACAAGGGAGGGGTGAGGATAGGTAAGACACCTAAAAAACTAGCTAGCATTTGTTGCCCTTAACGCAGAGAAACTAAAGCAGATACCTTAAAAGCAACTGAGGCCAATAGGAAAAGGGGACCGGAACTAGAGAAAAGGTTAGATCAAAAAGAATTAACCTAGAAGGTAACACCCACGCACAGGAAATCAATGTGAGTCAATGCCCTGTATAGCTATCCTTATCTCAACCAGCAAAAACCCTTGTTCCTTCCTATTATTGCTTATACTTTCTCTACAACAAA